TTTAATTTTTAATAATATTTTTATTGCCGACTATCTAATAGTGAAACTTGTATAACACCAAACGTCAGCAGCGGTATATGCTAACTGATAATTTATAATAGCTATAAATGTTGTTCTGAATAATAATTTAACTCTGAAAGCGTATTCGTATGTACTATTGTGTATAATTAAATGGTTTTCTACACACGGGGCAATGATTATTTCCCAACTCTTATACCTTGATAATTGATTAAACGCACAATTCCGGAAAAATTATTTGCTAACAAACCTAGTTAAAAATTCTAGTCGTTATCGAATCTAAAATTAACCAAGTTTATTCAAACCGGATTACAAACAAAAATTGTATAAACAAATAACGATTCGTTTTAACTTTGCAGTCCAATAATGGATAATTTTTTACGTTTAAGAAATAGCCGAGTGTTAAAGGACCAATGTTAAAAAAATCATTTAATAAATGTTAATGTAATCCAACCTTAGTAATTTATGTACATTATAGTTACAAAATTGTTTGGATTAATTATATTTAATAGCTCTGTCGGTTTCTGTTTAATAAATTAAACATACGGTAGCCGTTACTGTTATTTTCAATAAACCAAAATGCAATAAGATAATATTGCCTTTTACATATTATTATATTATCGGTGGCGATTCATGCCTAATTCATAAAAATAAGATACATTATCATAATATCCTATAAGTTATCTTACAAAGATATCTGAATATTATCCTATTAGGACCTATTTTACGTTTTAATTATTTTTCCCCAAATAAAGACATGGACTTCTTCAAAGACATCTGGACTTTAGTAATACCCTACAGGGTTATCTTTATATAATTTTAATTAACTTTTTACATTAAACCACATATAATTATTATTTTTTCCATTGACTACAATCAATATTATTAAAATATATTATATTTAATATAACTAATTATGAAAACGCAAACAAGAATCTACAGAAGTTTGCTACTAAACAGTTAATCAGCGTTTCCCATTGAAAAACAATATTTCTATTATCTAATTAATAACATTTTAAATACAAAAAATAGTACATTTTCCATGCTGCACAAAAGAACATTGAATAAAGGATGTTTTTAGATATTATGATAAATGAAAATTGTCAAGACAATTTTAGCACTGACATAAGACATATTCATGTTAAAAATATGTGATGAATAATCCTTCACCTATTTTTTTTTTTTTTGTCATTAACCCGTTTTTAGCATATTTTACAAATTATTATTCTATCTATTAATAAATAAACAATACATATAATATATCATGGTTTAATGTTGTAGTCCTTACTTATTTGTTTGGCTATATTATTTGCTTTGCCCTTGAAAATTAATGATGACGATTGATAACGAATTTCTGTTTTATTATTTTTTTAACCTTATTTGTATCAATCTACTGTTTGTATAACCTGTTGGCGGTCTAATATTATGTTATGTGAATCTATAAATGTAGCTGACCATATTACAACTTTTTTTTTTGTTTTTTACGAACGACAATGTCGTTAGCCTGTTTTTTTTAATGGATGTAACGACTGTGTAGCTTTTTTTTCACGCTATATACTGAATTAGAATAAATTACAACGAATTAGCTCTTTTGAAATAATAACTTTGTTTAAATTAATGCAAACAGGAACTCGTTCCGTGTATTGTTTTCGATAAGATTTGTGAAAGCAAAGGCGTCGGCCGCAACAAGATCGTATCAAAAGTAAGTACGCTTTATGGCTATGACGGCACATCATGTTTTATTTTTTTGAAAAAAGAGAACCCGGTCATACAAGTTTTATCGATAGAAAACGATTTCCAAACACATTAACGACGTCTAATCGTAATTCCGTTGTGCGCTTACTCGGCGGAACTCGGTTTTAAAGTATATTGGAAATTCGAAACAGAAAATAAACTTTTAAATTTGTCTAATAAATATATTATAAGATCAAATATATTTGAACAGTCAAGTTTTTTCTATTAGTCGATCTGATCTTAAATATTTATTTTTTTTTTAACTTGCACATTGCATCTCTAAATAAATAATTAAGAATTAATTTTTTGCGCGCATTCAAATTATACCTACTTTTTTTTAAGTCTATGGCTGCGAATTGAATGCATTGGACAGTGTCTAAAAGCCAATGATGAACTTAGACTTATAATATAGAACTTTTAGCCTTGATGCGGAGCTGAGAAGGTATTGTTATTACAATGATGGGTTTTTAATTATTTTCTTTTTTTTGTGTCGGGACCCAAGATATCTTTTTAACCGCTGAACCGATATATTTATAGACCACAAATCGTACATGTAAAGTACTTTATTAGGTTAAACCTTTAAAAAATGTAACCCTTCCTTTTCAACAAAAAAAAAAAAAATTACCATATTTTTCAACTTGAAATTACGGCTCTTTATAACTGTTTTAAACATATTCAAATTAGTTCCAAATTTCTATAGAATATTCTTTAGGCATAGTACAAACGACAAGCCAAAAAAATATCAAAAACCCTTTTTCTTATAAAGGGTGGAAAGTTTTTTTTTATTTCACTTTTCTATGCAAACTTTTAGGGTTAAAAGTCTAGACCGAAGGTATAGAATCGGGCTATAACATATGCAATTTTCTCAAAAATGTGAAGTGAAACAAAAAAAAAATGGGGAAAATTACACATTGACCTTAGTAAATTTACATAGGTCAAGTGAATCACCAGTTAACAGGTATGACGAATAACGATCGGTAACCGAGAGAAAAACTGTAAAACTGAAAAACAGATTCTGTCCGCACATTTGGAAAATGGTGCATATCAGTAAAATCATAATAAAACATAAATCACAAATGGAAATAAAATAAGTTAGTTCATACACCAGAAAGCTATCAGGGGAAAAACAATTTTCATAAAACAACAACTCGTTTATTTCCCCCTCAAAGACATTGGCAGAGATCAAAGGGGGGGGGGGTCTAAAAACCGTAACTTTAAATTAGTGCTACATTTTTTTTTTATTTCAACAAATCTCTCGCCGGGCAAACATAGTATTTTGTGCTGCATATATTGTAATTATTGTACGCCTAATATAACATACATTATTATGTTCTATTAGGTATAGTTTTTATTAACAGCATACCGTACACTGGTTGCCGGCGTGCAACGAATTATAATAATCTAAATCTAGTATCTTTTTTGTCCGGTAAAATTCATAACTCTCCTGTAGCCTACCGATTGGCAATAAGCTTATTACATAGATCATTGTTGACGGGGTGGGGATATTGGAACGTTATGGTCAATGATTCCGGTGGCCCTTTAACCGGAACGCTATTTGTTGTATATGCCCTGTACGGCACCACATTGCACAGTGTTGTGAGCTCACATCGTGTTCCGGTCCGGAAACTAGTCGATTTTTTTTATTTTATACATACACATACAGGGTGTATCCATTAAAGACGAGACACTCACGTTTTCTCTTAAAAACAGTTGCAAGTTTTGTATTTGTTTTACTTTTGGAGACACTTTAGACTGCGTTATTTTACAAGATATCAGACAATGTGTTCAAATTTTTTTCCCAGAGTTCCATCAACTTTGTTTTTAAAACTTAAACGTTACCGTATACACGGTGAAAACAGACTTAACGGACACACCTGTATACGGGTCGTTTATTGTAAAAATGGTGTAACTCCAAATTTTTCAAATATACATATTTTTCTTCAACAGAGCACACATTTAGTCGTATCTTTCGTTATAAAAGGAAGGCACTCCGATAAATGCAAAATAAATTTACAAAAATAGAAAACACTGAATGAACAATTGTATTGTTTTTCATATACATTAATTTACAAAAAGCTCGTTCATATATACATATAGATGTATACATGAATTGATACATATACATATAAATATTTAAATATTATTTATTTATATTGATGCTGTATAGGCAGGTTTAACCGTATATATTTAATTTACTTTTTGAATTAATAATAATTTGCTAAAAATATTGACTGGTCGATAACTAGTTTTTTGGATAAAAAAAGGTAAATAATTAGACATTTTTCAATATTGTACAACAACATGAATAAAAATGTGTGTCTAAAACGGTAAAATCGTAATTAGTTTCCGAGAAAATGCGTGTCTAAGAGGGCGAAGTCTCATTAAAGATTTTTAATGGTAAAAACATGTTTACGCAAAACAGAAAAGTACCTTTCAAAATGTTTTAGAGATAAGACACCAATATTTTAAAAAAAAAATACTTCCGAGGGAACCTCGCATGCGTTTTTCAAAATATAATTCAGAAATAAGTTACAAAGTTTTATAAAAATGTATTTTTGCATTCATCGTATTGACTTATGCATTGTAGACAGTGCAAAACCCAAACGAGGTCCCTAAATAAATCTTGTCCCCTATCTTTTTTATTAGAAGTGTTTTTATCTCAATAAAGTACTTTAAAGGGTACCTTTTTCTGTTTGGCGTGAACATGTTAAGATGTAAAAAAAATGTTTTTAAATCGCTGTCAAGGATGTCGTGATAGTTAAAAAATAAATCAACCTTAGAAAAATAAGAGTGCTAATCACTTAACTAATAATTGTGTCGTTTATTGTAAAAATGGTGTAATTTCAAATTTTTAAAATATACACATTTTTGCTTTATGGAGTCACATTTATAGTCATATGTTTCATTAAAAAAGAGAAGCGACTGCGATAAATAAAAAAATAGAAAAACACCGAACGAATACTTGTAATTGTTTTCCTACAAAAAACTCGTTATTTCAAAATTCAATTACAATAGGAGATAATTTACTTTTACAATGAACGACACAATAGCATATAGTATAACACATGGCAGTATAACCTTTGAGTTAAGATTTCGCCTATATCTAACCTCCTTAATAAATAAGAGGTATCACGTGCTCTTGAGTTAAACGAATCGCCACATTAGCTGATATCCAACACAAGCACGTGGATTATGCAAAAAATAAATGGCGCCAATTTTTGTGCATTTTTTGGGATTTTTAGACTCACCTCTTCCGAAGGGAAGTCATAGCAGTCGGCCACCCTCTGGTAAAGCTCGCGGACGTTGGAGAAGTCTGACACCAGCCCGGTGGGACTACCCTGGGCCTGTTGACAATGGAACACCAGGTTCTGTTTGACCCTTTCGCCGTCTTCGCCTCGGTGTTGCTGCTGTTGCCGGACCTCGGCCGATTCCTTGGTGTGTTTCTGCACCGTTTTCCGGTTGAACAATGGCATGGTCGGTGGGAAAACTACAAAGAAGTTCACATGACGCACATTCAAAGGGGTATTTTTTTACTGAGAACGTCGCGCGCACACACACAAGACAACGCACTGATAAACACACTAAACAAAACGATCGAAGCGACAGACCAAGACCGACGACGGCGTGTCAGCGACTAACCACGCGCACAGGTATGGTATAACGTTGCCAAGCGGTATAATAATATAGTTACCTACCGGTTGGGTGTAGCGAAGGGCAGGGGCCCCGGACAACAGCTGCTACAGCTACTGCTGGTCGTGTTAACGTCTAACCTAGTGGAACACGTCATAATATTCGGTTTGGAAATGATGTTTTGATTCCGTTATGAATATACTTGTCTACGGTTATGACTCTCCTAGTGCGTAGGTCGGACTTTGAAGCCCGTCTGCCTTCGGCTCTCGACGATAAGATGACATATCCGCACCGGTTAAAACGCATCGCGCCACCGAAATACATTTCTTTAGTATTGCTGAACAATAGGTACCGTTGAAAACATATTTGTCTGGCAAAAACCATATTTTATATAATCATCATCAACGTTGCGGCCAACGTGGGATGGTTACTACCTACCTGACATTTTTTATGTGCTAATGAAAGTTGTATAGAATCAGTTATAAAAATAAAACAAAACTATTATAAAACTGTACTATACAGCGTACAAGCAGATTAGAATATAAAAAACTACTGACTAGACACAGATGGTTAGCGTAACCGCCACACCGTTTTACTTTAGATCTATTGTGTTGAGAAAGAAGAGTTTACGGATGATAGGGTTGGTTGCTTACAATGAATGGCGATGCCGGAAATTCGATTGAAATGACGAAGGATCTTAATGATTGGTTAATCAGAATTTGAATCTTGACTTCCGCCATAGCCAATACACTAATTGCAACAACTGGTCGTTGTTTGGCAAAAAAACCATTTATAATAATACCTAGGATTTATTTTTAGAGTCTCTGTGTACATATTTTTTTTTAATAAAATAATAAGTTAAAATTTTTAACTAAACAATATTAAAAAAACAAGCAAACACACAAGTGAAACATAGAAAGTTCTGATTAACTGGTTTTAAACTAGTGATGTATTAATTTCTAATTATATATGTATTAATACATTAGGTATGTATTTATATAACATATATATGTTGTAACGAAGTTGGACTTATTAAAAATATAATAATTACTTATATTTTTAGGAATTATTAACAGTTTTGTCTAAATCCAAAGTATTGTAAAATCACAGGAAAAGAAGTATAATGTAAAAACAAATGAATAAAATAAAACAATTAATATTTTCTCATACCAGTAAAAAGTAAACTATTAATTATGTGACATCTCGTTTTTTTTATTAATAATTTTTAAAAAGTTTAAGTGTTACCTATTGTTTTTAATCAATAATCAAATGGTTATACCTATGTATGCAATCTAAAACTTTAGTAAAGATTTGAAAATAAAATGTATAAGTTTTTTTTTATAAATTTGCCTATATTATATTATTACAATTAATACAATTTAACATTAAGTAAAGCTTGTACAGTAAATGTACGCCCGTTATGTTTGGATATGTTTTAAATTAAAAATTTGAACAGAAAACATTAGTCAACTATAGCCGGTTATTTAAATTTTTTTAATGGGCAAACCATGGCCAACATTTTACATAAATAATTATGTCTATTATTCGTGCCAACTAATTAAACTATTAAGGAGCCTCTACACTAGCATTTATTAAGGCGCTTTGTATAGGCAATTTTTCGCTAAAACTTAACATTAAGCTAAAAATAATTTTTAAATTGTGCCACGACTGATGTGTTAATGATTTTTTTAAAGAACTCAAATATTTGTTTAAAAACTTAAATCAGAGTATTCTTAGGAACAGTACGTTTGAATTAGAATGAGTCGTTTTCGACCAAAGATACGCAGATGTCCCTTAAAAGGTATTTAAATGTTAATTTTTATGTTTTACACTATATTTATATTAATTTTTTGTATTATATTTTACCGTGAAAGTTAGACCGGAGAGGATTCTAAATAAAGCCATTGAGAGGACGTGATATTCCCAATTTCTTAATGGAATTAGGTATATGGAAATTTGTTTGCAAAATCTCAATTTAAAGCTTAAAGCTGTAATGTACAATTTTTAGTTTAAGTAATTAGAACTTTTTTTTTTTTGGTAGTTATTTATTTTTCGGATTATAGCAGCATGTTTGTCGGCGATTTTAAATATTTTCATTTAAACGCAGTTACGCAGAGCCCATGGTTGTTTTAGAGCAAAATCACCTAGTATAAAAATGAAAGAAAAAACCATTTGGAAACAAGATCATAACCGATTTTGAAAAAAGTTATTGCTATTTAAAAAAAGTAAAAAAAATATGATTTTTAAATGTTAAATATTAGGTTTATCGAAAAAAAAAGATATGTCAATTTCTCCCAAATCTAGTCTCGTTTATTTTGTTATAGGTATTTTTGGTTGCAGTGAAATGACAAAAAATATAATCATCGCGAGTCGTTAATATTTCAAAAGGGAAATAAATCAAATAAATAATATCGCATGGAAGCTAAAACCTATTACAATATATATATGATTAATCGAGTAATATTCGAGAAAGTGAGTGAAAACCTACCTACCTGCAGAGCTGTTGTGCATCATTCGAATACAACTCTGATAATAATAAAGTTTTTTTTTTTGAAACTTAAATAAGTTGCAGTTAAATAACTACAATAAAATTATTTAAACGAATATGAGAGGAAATTTTATAGAAAATGTTAAAAATAGTTGATTAATTAAAAAATGTTGGTCGTGTACATTTTGTAAGCATTTTTTATTATACTATTAATTTGTCAGTTTGTTGTGAATGTGAATACATCAAACGCGTTAAGCCGAATAACAGTTGTAATACAGTCGTATAGAATATAATTTTTAGAAGAAAATTTTATTTTCAGAAGATGCTAGGTCGATAATAATATATTAACACAAACAGTATTTATTTGTTTTTATATAGCTACACTGTATAAATAAAAACACAACAGTGTTCAAAATATTTTATTGTTTCTACTGACTTCAGTTGTATTTTTTACAATTTAATGTATATTTCCACTGAAACTACTGCCTACAATATGAGTTAAAAATAATTATTTATATTAACCTATATTATATCTTTTGATTTGGTGTGCACAGAACACATTATGTCTGTCTTTCTGGATTTCTCTGCGAGTTCGATTTTGTCAAATTTCTTATACTCATCCAATTGGACTGCTCGTAGAAGCGATTTGATCTTAGTAAAACCGATGTCGTTCAATAATTGTTTAATGTAAAATATCAACGCATAAAATATGTTCTAGAATCGGTAAAGGGTGGTTTTCTGTTTTGATAGATTTAATGCTGGCAAATCGCTCAAGTTGAATAATAGAATTTCGGCTATACGAGTCGATATCTGCTTTTGTGATAATAGTTTGGTTGTCAAGAATACAGGTTAAAGGCGAATACACATTTCTGTCTTCGTTGAAAAAAACGGCGAATTCTTCTATTTTAGAAAGCAGTCACTTATTGTAAGAATCGCAATATTTACCATCCACCTGTCGGCCACCCGTTTGGTCGATAAGCCTCTTCAGGTAAATCAGATGTTTGGCAATTGTGTGCATCACATTATTTTTGTAACGTTGCTTCTTCGCTAATAGTTATTGTGTTAATTAATCCAAGCCAAATAATGGCCTTTGCCGAGACGAATTTATGGAACATCTTTTCCAGAAGACGTCTGGCCGGTATACTAAACGCAAATACTTACCGAGCAGAGATATCTGTCTTGTAGTAGGTAGTGAGGCAAATAACAATATAGGTTCTATTGACATAATATAATTATGACCAAGGTCAAATATCTATTTGAAAACCATTTGTTGTTATTATATTATGTGGTATTCAAAAGGAAGTGTTTTATTATAAAAAAAAAAATAAGAAACAACAATTTTTCAACATTAACTCCCAGTTGAAGTGTAATATTATTTAAAATATATGTTTATGTTTATATAATACATTTAAGTATGCGCAAATAGTGATAAATAGAGTTAATCGCTTAAAATAAAAAGTTAGAATTTTATCAACTGTACCATCAATTTAAGAGCGTTTAAAAAATAAAATTCTCTATAGAATGGACTATCGCGGTTAGCTTAAATAAATTGCATAACTACGCGGGCAAGGCAAAGCAATTCATTCAAAGTGAAAGCACCTCAAAAATTAAAAACTGTGTTTACTGGATTTTGAAAGGGAAGTGGTGAATTTTTTTAATTTTTGGCCCAATAAAGTACCAATGAAATATAGAGTTGCTACACGAAGAAATCGGTTCAGCGGTTTAAAAGATATCGTGGGTCCAGACACATAAAAACACATCATTGTAAATACAGTACCTTCTCAGATCCGCGTCGAAGCTGAAAGGTGTTCAATTAAAACTTGTTATAAAAGTTCTTAAAAGAAATTGCTAATAAAAATGTTCTACCAAAATTTGTTTTAGATTTAAAAAAAAAAACACTTAAGGTCTATCACACCTGCCATGTGTTTATTCGGTACAGGCAAGTTTTGTCAAAATCTTAATTTAAAAATAATACTGCATTATGCTAACTACAATGATGATGCGCCTGGTAATTTTTTTTTTATAATACTACAATAATATGGTCTGTTTCTAACGTTTTCGCTATTTTTCCTTATTGTTAATTATGAGTTATTAACTTCCCCATTTTGCTGGTAGTGGTGGTATAATCTTAAAATACTATTTTAATATCGTTGTACTAACTTTTGGACAACAATAATAATACACGTCGTACATCAGAGGTTTTTTTTGATACAATATTTAAAAAATAATTTTATTGAAGTAGTATAGATTTTAAATGATTAAAAAATTAAACCAATAAAACAATTAAAAAAAAGAAAACCATGACATACGGTGAACCTATAATAAATGTTTTCTAATTTATGATACTAAATTTTTAAACTTTACATCGACTGCAAACAAAATAGGGTAGTTTAAGAAAAAGCTAGCTATTTTTTTGTAATATCATGTTATTTAACTGTTAGTTGAACAATGAGATGTTGACAATTACATAGGGATAAGCCGCATGTTTTTCTATGCCAACTATAACACTATAAAGTATAAATTTAATGTGTTTTATCTTTACCAATATTCTTTCTCGTGTAATTCAATGTTCCCAATCCTATTTATATATACATATATATAACAGAATAAATACATATTTATAATTTATAAAGCTGAAAATATTATTACCTACCTACCTACCTAGTCACCTACCTATTTATACAATATATATCATATTCAAATTGGAAAAATGGCCAAACTCTTATCAAATATAAGTACAGAGTTTAATAATAAAATAATTTGGAGACCCTTTTTAAATGCAGCGATATAAACAGGTGGTAATAATATTGCCAGCTTTATTTTTTTTCAAATACATGTTTTGATAGTGGTTAATTAAAAAATTAGAAAACATCCTAAAACCATGTACAGGGTGTTTTCAATACGACTTATTTTTGCTGGGTTTTTTGTCCTTAGATATTATGTTATACCGACATTATTAAAAAAATAAAATGCACTTGAAAGTATAAATTATAATAATATCAATATTAAAAAAACAAAACTTAATTACTTATTATTATTATTTTAATAATTTTCATCGCTAGAACTATGGACAAACAAAACTATTCGACTTTTATACATGCCAACAATACCTTCGCAACAACTTTGTCTCGAAACAAACCATATTTATGTTGTTAATACTCACAAAAAAGCCTACCTATATGGGTTATCTATGCAAATAAACATTCCGTTATTTCCATTTATAAATACAATAGCAGTAGGTCTGACTACTTATAATATATTTTGTAAGTTGGGCAGCAATGCTCTGTGCTTGGTGCACGGGGTGGGAATGGCAGGGTGGATCAATAGCAGCTGTGACGGTACAGTGGGTATAGTAAAGAGTCCCTTCTGTAAAAATAATACAACCCCAGACGCATGTGTAAACGTGATTTGATTAGAATAATATCTAACAACATTCATTGTATTTTGTTTTGTATAGAATAATAATAATAGATTTTACGTTGTTTTCTTCGTGTAATTATTATCAAAACAAAATCAACATTGCGAATGTAAAATCATTAATCAAGTATTACAAACTAAAAGTAGGTAATTAAAATTTTTTTTTTTTTTTTACTTCTGTGGTAAAACATGAACTCAAACGACGGACCCGAGACCAGTTACACGCTACCGACCGGCAATTGTTTGGCGATAGTCAGGAATTTGGTATCCCAATTCAACGATTTATTCAGCGATTTCAACCGATACATTTCTCCGGCTTACCATCATGACCGATGTGAAAGGTACCATACCCAATATAATTGGAAACAAAAAAAAAAATCTCATACTTAATAATATGGATTTTGTGTTTTAGGTCCGTGCACATGCGATTGTACTCCATGAACAAACGGGAGTTCGTCATGATATTTGTCATTTTGCTGACGGCTATGGGATTAGTGTTGTTTATCGGCTTGACGGGTAGGTAACCAAACAGGAATTGAAATTGGTTTTTTGCTATTTAGTAAACTCTACAACATATATGGTATTTATTTGTATTTTTTCCGACACGATCTAGGTCCACCGATAACTTTGACAAGTAAAACCAGCGGTGTGGATATATTGAAACACAATAATGGGACGCTACCTCAGGGCCCATATGTTATGAAAACTCCTAGTCTGACCGTTTACAATCAAAGGCTATGGTTGATCGCAGTTGTTTTAACAGACAATAAAGACGGTAAATGGTCACGACGTTTATATGGCGTAAATTGAATAATAATACTTGTATATTAGTAATTTATACGGTATTTTAGATGAAACGTACGACAAAAGTTTCAACATAAATATGTCCATCAAAGGCATCACGCCTCAACACAAGTATAATAGTGTAAAAGCGTACAGTCAAACTAGCAGGTAATAGCTAATACTCTTTTACATTTGAATTATTATAAGACTTTTGTTGTGTACAGGAAAAGACATTTACTATGCGAAAGACAGACTTGCAGTCAAGTACCTATTGCCCATATTGGATATATTCATTATACTCATTACATATTTAATGTATCATTTTGCAATCTAGAGACTTTCCATCAGAAATATCAAATAAAAGAAGTTTTATTCTACGTGAGTACCCTGATATTTGTACATAAATATATATGTATACACAATCAAAATACCATTTAGTTGTAATTTATCGTGTCCTATTATTAGTATAAATCATATAACCCAGGATACACTCAAATGGAAATATGGTTCAGGCTGATTTATTTATTGAGTGCGTTTGGAGTACTAGTAAGTTAATAATTGTGTACACAATTTGCCTATTAATTAATTTTTATACAGTTTATAAAACGATAATAATTATTGTGATGTTATTATTAGTGCTTTTTCGCCAATTCGTTGAGAAAATTCCCAATAGCCGATTGGTCGTACGAACAGAAATGGACCATCATTTTATTGCCTTTACTTATTTTATTTAACAGTACGTAATTTGATGTTATTTAAATAGTTCACTTTTACAGTAATATTTCAATTATTAGCGTGAACAACTTTTTAGATCCATTTTTCCCTCTGACACTTCTGACCGGCAACGAAGTAATCGGAGTCGCCGATGGAGTTTTCCAAATCACATTTATTTGTGCTATACTATTCTATTGGCTTTGCATCTATCATGGACTCCGCCAGGTATTTAAAACTTGAACAATATAATAAACATACAATGGTTATAATTTCTGTTAAATACCAAACCCTTTTATTTTGGTTTAGAATGAAAGAAAACCACTGACATTTTATCTATTCAAAATCGCTTTAGTAAGTCCGTTTTGGTTGAGCGGTGTTTTAATTGCCAAGTATCGACGTATAAATGAATTCGAAGATCCAGCATTCAGTTATGAGATCGATACCAATGCTTTTTCGGTAAATCATTGTAATCATCTTAGGTGTCCATTAGGAAGAATGTTGTAATTATGTGTTTTCTTTACAGAACATAAAGCTGTGCGTGAACATTTTCGCATTCGTTTACATTTTATTCTTGGTGTGCTTGATTTTGAGAGCATACAGTGATTTGCGTTCGATGCCCTACTTCGGTGAGTTTGATAACAATTTAGTTAATTCAACAAATTGTGTGATAAAAATATAATAATCCTATTTTTTAGATGCAAGACTAAAGTTTGTAAGCATTTCAATGGTTATTTCGCTGCTTATTTGTTTTATCATCACGTACATGCGATATGGATTCGGTTTAATCGAAGATACATTTGCCGCCGATTTAAATACTGAATACATGTCGTCGGCCTTGTTCATGACATTTTACGGGATTTGTAATTTTTACGTGTACACTCTAGCTGCAGTGTATTCGCCTGCAAAGAAACCCGGGTTTGGTATGTATTATTTAAGTATCTTTTAATGGTGGTGTATTACGAACCTTGGCATTTATCGTTTCAAATAATCTGTAACTTTAAATAACTGTTTGATTTTGTTTTTTAAACAAACTATTTTTATAAAAAAATGTTCGAGATTTTATTAAAATAATGCCCAGGTTTGAAATATAACAAGACATAAATAAAAAATAAAAATTACTTCATCGGTTTTCAAATGATTTAGAATCTTCAATAACAAAAGACAACCCAGCTTTTTCAATGGTTAACGATTCCGAAGAAGACGGTCCTTATGGATCTGATGATGAAAGCCATAAACCTTTGAATCCGCCTAACGACGACAGCGATTAACTTTGTGTTCATTTCTATGATAATTATTTTTTTTTTTTTCCCAATGAAAAGCTAAAAAAGTGTTGGTATTAGTTTTATTATTATAATAATAAATATTGTCTTACGTAATAAGTCAGTTTCTGTGATGATTGAATGTAATATTATAATAATTGTAACATATAGAGTTTATGTAATCCAGTATTAAGATATTATAAGTTCAATTGTTTTTTGAGTTACCGTTTTAAAATAAAATGATTACTGAACACATTTTATAGTATCAATTGGATAAAAAAAACAAAAATATTTTTCAACATCAAAAATGTTTTGTATTGTATTATTTTCATAATGCTTACAAAAATATACAATTTTTTTAAATTTTAATACTATATCATTATTAAGTATTAATAATAATTGTACTAAATGTAATATTGTTGTAAGATAATTTGACATTTGTTAATTGGATATTTAAGTATAAATAAACAAAACCTATTACTTTTAATAATTTCGAAAATATTTATCACACTCAGTACGGTCTAGCAATCAAAGACGCAATGATATTTTATAATTAAAAATAGCAGGTAATCAAAGGTTATAATTCCTGATGGTATAGTATGAATAAAACTTTTATAAATTAACAAAAAAAAAGTAATATTATTGACTTCTTGTATACAAAATGGAATGTAATTGTTATTCTTTTAAAATTGTTGAAAAATTATTCTATAACAGTGTACATGTACTTATTAAAATTTTAGGAATACGTGCTATGTTGGTCGCTTAAAAAAGGGTATTTATTTATTTAAAATAATAACCTCATAATTCACTCGTCTTGATTTACAAGTAATACAAACTGGAACATTTTTTTGAAGGATAAATGTGAAATAGTTTTCAACAATTGGCAGTGCTTATTATTGTGCCATCTTGGTCATTATCTTCAGACATATTGAATTGTTTTAATAACCTTTGAAACACAATTAATAATATCCAAGTATTAAAAAAAAAAAACAGTGTGCAATAATCATAATTATTACCCAATTATCATCAAATAAAATAATTAAAAAATAATGCCTTACCTCATAGTACTGTTATATGATCCTTGCTCATAACCTCGTTTAAATCCTTCATTGTAACCGCTATCAAATCCCATTTGAAACATTACATCCGATTCTGGTTCGGTGCTGGTAGCTCCATCCCGTAAAGCTGTCTATAGAAATATTTTAATTATAGAATCAACATTTAAAATTAGTTTTTATTTTGTAAGATTACTTTTTGTACATCAAGTAGATGTTTTCTCCAATTCCTTGCCAAAATTTCTCTTTCGTCATCGCTGTCCGTTGGCTCCATCTCTCAAGTCGTCTATCCTGAAAGGTATTATATAAATTTGTATTATTTGACAGTAGGTACGTTACACTTGAGAAGCTTTAAAATTTAACTACAAAGTTTAATACCTGATGTATATAATATATGTTAAAAAAAGGGTAAAATTATCAAGTCGGATTGTTTTTTCTGTAGGAAAAATTTGAACAACAATGACTCAACACCTTAATTCAACTTTTATTGATAAATTGGTAAAATCTATAGTCTAGTAAACTAGTGAGCTGTGAGTAACGTCTAGTAAATACAAATTTGTGAATTTAATAGTGTACAAGGTATTAAAATTTTATAGCAATAACGCATGTAAGTACTATGTATTATCAGCTGCGCTCATAAGATGTTATCACAGATTAACCAGAAGGTCAATGAAATGTGTGCGTTACCATTTGAGTTTGCTATCAAAAAAACTAAGTTGGAAAGGCGGTAAAAACGAAATAAATTGTGAAAAATTGAGATCACTTTGTATTAAAACATTATGAATAAAAAAAAAAATTAATTTCTTATTAAACTCTATGAGATATTGAGTGGTTCACGATGAAATGATCACCCTGTACCCTGTATCTATTTTCTATGCCTGTACATTATAGTAGTGTAACCTTAAGTAGATGGCTGCCACGTTTTTGGCTGATAACCATCCCAGTAATTAGTGTTATTTTAATTGTACAAATTAATAATCGCATTTAAAACAATTGAATCCCCATCCAACCCTAGAAAAAAAAATTTTAAAAGCCCCCCCCCCCCCCCGGAGTTTAACGGATCCAAACTAGTGGATTCATCTGTAAACTAATAAATTCATCGTTATTTTAATATGAAACAAATATATATATATATATATATTTCAGGTTTTGCAAATGTCCAATTTAAGTTCTATAAAAAAAAATAAAAATCTGTAGCCTCTACAGGATTATGCTAAAAGCCTATTTTCATTTCAGAAATTCAGATTTTTTTTTAAATTAAATTATGAATTTCTGCGATAAAATGCAACCTTAAGTATATAATAACGCAATTTAAATTATTAGATAATTTGTTGATGCGATTTAAAATTAATGTCAAACACGGTGCATTGAATAAATACAAATAATTCTATAATGACTTCATAAGACCATATAAGAAGTGTGACAACGAAAAGTTATTGGATTGTGTAATATATATATTGGATTTATTATTCGGTAAACACACGTTACTATGGTGATGCAAATAATTCAACTTTCTGCTTAAAATGGCAATCGTCGTCTTTAACGGATGTCGATTTTTATTACTTTTATTTTCGGTTTTCTTGTTAGTCAATTTCAATTATCGATGCGACGGAAATTTGCAGTTTCCGGCTTTCAGCGGAGAGTATCCGTACATGGTAATTGGAATGCAAACATGTTGTATGACAAAATTAAATAGAAACAAATTAGTACCTTATAATTTGCCGTGTAGGGCATCATGTTGATTCCTTGGAACTACAGCCCGTGTATCTTGTTGGCAGGACACTGGTGTATGACCCACAACACGCCTTCGACTGAAGCATAGTAACTCAACTGTCTCTGTTATAATGTATAGTATGATAATCACACTTGATACTTATTGCTCAGCCTTAAGAACATTTCGACGCAAAATCCGTACAAAGTGATGTTAGGCCATATCGTTATAAGTTCGGCCGAACCGGACAAGAACCAAGCGTGTTTGGCCGTCGGTTCGGTTTTCCATCCAAACAGCATGATCACCATCGTTTTGATCAAGGTAATCTGTGATATTATTATTATTATTCACAGTGTAATATCGTGCAACATACCTATCGCATGTTAATTTAGTAAATGTAAAAAAAAAAAAAATAGTGGAGACGGAGAGGTCACAGGTCTACAGATTTTATTACAACTGAAAGTGGGACCAGCAATAATGTACTTAAAATTTAATATTTAGTCTTGTGCAGGGTGGATACGATAAGGGTTGATCGTCTGTCTATAAAAATGTACTGTCATAGTTACCCGTGTATCGTAATTAACAATATAATGAAAATACTTTCATTACCTGTTGACTGTTGATTCACGCACACATAGAGCAACCTAGAAACTGACTACGGCCAAAGTGTAAATTTACCCTATTTTTGGGGTTTTTCCTTAATAAAAAAAAAATTTGACTACAGATTTTTGAGAAAATTGTATATGTTATAGTTACATTTTAGATCTACCTTTGGTCTAATTTTCATATCTAAATTTTTAAAACTACTGGAAAAAGTGAAATTAAAAAAAAAAAAATCTATCCCTTATAAGGGAAAGGGTTTATGATATTTTTTTGGTTTGTTAATGTTTATCGATAGTACTATGTTTGAAGAACAATTCATATAAATTTGGAACATTTTCAACTATTTTTAAAAGAGTTATAGAGCATTGTAAGTTTAAGTTGAAAAATTTGTAAATTTTTTAGGTGTTTTTCTCGATTTTGATGGGGAAGGGGTGACTTTTTTTTAATTTTTGACCCGATAAAGTACCTTCCAGGTATGATTTCTGATCTATAAAGTTGCTACACGAAGAAATCGATTCAGCGGTTTACGAGATATCGTGGGTCCAGAATAAAATAAAAACACATCATTGTAAAAACAATGCCTTCTCAGCTCCGCATCGAAGCTAAAATCATAATCTAAAATATACGAACAGACAAAAATGTATTTTCCATATTTTATCAAATATTCAACACTATTGACAGTGTATATATGGCTAATCTTAATTAATCTTATATAGTGGTATAACGTTACACTAGTTAACTAAAGTGGCAATATTCCAGTCATCTGAACTTTTTGAATTACTCAAATTTGTTAATACTTAAAAATTAAACTCATAATGGCTATTGGCTTTACTCAGAATCCTCTACGGTCTAACTTTGCAGTAACATGATATTTAAAAAATGAATGTAAAAATTAACCCCTTCATAGTTTAATTAGTTGGCACGGTTGAAATAGACATAATAATTTATGTAAAGTGTTGCCTATTGTTTGCCCCTTAAAAAATTGTAATAGCCGGTTATAGATGTCTAATGTTTTCTGTGCAAATATTGAAATTAAAACATATCCAAACATAAAAGGCGTACATTTACTGTACAAGCTATACTTAATGTTAAATTTTATTAAGTAAATTTATAGGCAAATTCTCAAAAAAAACCTAAACAATTTTTTTCTTAAAGTTTTCACTGAAGTTTTCAACTGAACGCATAGGTATAATTATTGAACATATATTTAGTAACCATAGTTATTTTACTTGACTTGACACTTTACATTTGTTGTAGGTAAAGCCGGAAATTCAGATCACTCTATTTGTCGATTACCAGCAGCTTAGATTCAACACAAACCAAGACGTTAACGAAGACTGCGAAGTAATGTACTGGTCTCAGGTGAAGACTTCGGAAAAAAAGAACTTTTTCTTTGATTATGAGCTAGTCAACGAAGTCCCATGCCGTTACGACGTTTGTCATTATTCGGCGGACGGCAGTTGCCCAGTGGAGCACGCGGTTTTGGTAAAACAAATAGTTCTGAGACGTTAATGTGATTTTCTGTTTAGACAACTGATGTTAATGATCAGGGTCCGAAAGAGTTCCGAGACTTTTTTCCCATTTTTACAGTATTATAAAATCAACTTGAAAAAGGTCTAATATTCAAATTATTTTCACAACGGAAATTTAAGTTTCTATAAAAAAAAAAAAAAATGTTCCATAGGAATTTTTATTATAAAAGTTCATAAAGAAATTGCTATCACACGTACTACACCTGCCAAATTTTTTGATTTATCAATCAAGCAAGTTTTGTCAAAATCTTAATTTAAAAATAAAACTTACGTGTAATTGTATAACTAAAGTAATGCTGGTATTTTTTTTTTTTATAAAAGACTACAATAGGTTCTTTTTCTATCGTTTTCACTATTTTTATTTACTGTTACTTAGGAATTATTAACTGCCCCATTTTTGCCTGTAGTGGTGATATGATCTTAAAATACTGTTTTATTATTGTTAGACAACAAACGTAGACACGTCGTACATCAGAGGTTTTTTTTTCGATACAATATTTTATATATTTTTTTATTGAAGTAATATGGATTAAATGGATTTTATTCAATATATGAATTTTTTTGTAAGACTACAATAAGATCTGTCATATACCACAATTTGATTATAAAAAAAATTAACAGCCAATAAGTTTATCTCATTACACATTGCATTACTCATTACACATTGTATTACTGTAGGTAATATAAATATTTAATTATGCTCTTTAATTATACGAAATAGGAAATGTGGCGACGTTATACTAACAGTGGGTATGGGTGTGATATTACATAAACTAATAAAATCCGACCTTATAACCAACTTTCAATAAATTTATATGTTACTTTTTAAGGTGGACGTGTCGGCTACCATTGTGTGTCATTCTCACATAATGGGATTTGCCGAATTCGGGCGCGACGGCCAGCCTGAAGTAATGTACCACAAGATCACACAAGATATTATAGAATGGCTGATGTCATTGACTATCGAAGAAGTCTAGATATTACTACTATGGACAGGGATGATTAAATCGGAATTGTTCACCATAGAAAACTATTCTTAATTTGATGTAATTTAATTGTTTGTCGATAAAATCTCCATAACGCTTGTTCAATAAATATAATATATATCGAATCACTATTGTTTACTTATTTAAATTCGTACTATAATCATTTTTATGTTATAATTATTACTGTTTTTTTTTAACTTGAGAATTAGATTTTATTATATCTAAATAATTTATATTCCTAACTTTTCCCCTTGGCATCGTTCAATCTTCCACCTTCATCCATCACAGGCCTTGGTTACACGGTCTCCATCTATCGTGTAAGGAAATTTCTTCCTTTCCCCGTTTAAGATTTCCCCTCAACGCCTTCTTCCTGCATGGCTCTTTCCTCGTCTTTTTAAACACCTCTCCACATAGCACATTGCATGATCTACCAGCCATTCGTGATTTTTCTCATTTCCTTTTTCATTGTCCCACACTTTCTCCCCATAGAGTTATCCTCTTTAACTTCCTATCCTCTCTGTGGATAAATCCCCAGTCAGTTCCTACCATCTAATCTATCCTCGATGCCGGGTTTCTTATCTAAGTAAAGCTATTGTAACAATGTATATATTTTGTATATATGTTTTACAGTTTGGTAGCTGCTTCGCATTTTAACTCCTTAAACGATTCTATTTCCCTTTTTGATCATTTTGCATTAAAAAAAAATAGTGTAGATTCTTGTAGTAAAATGAGGTATTTGACATTACACAGCTTTCAAATGTCATAGACCAAGAACTTTAAAGTTTCATATATTTATTTTGCGAATTAAATCTTAAGTAAAAAAAAAAGCGAAACAATAAAAATTAATACTGAAACTATTTTACAATCGCTGAATAGTCACGAGAGATACATTGGGTTTAGTCGTGTGCTCTTGCTTTATGATTTCTCAGATAACTTTGTCGACCAAATGTTTTTTCACAGATATTGCATTTAAACGGTTTTTCGCCGGTATGTATCCTTTCATGAGTTTGAGATTAGATTGATGACTGAATGTTTTTTCACAGATATTGCATTTAAACGGTCCATTACTCATCGCGACGGATATGTATGCGTATCATGAGTTATGAGGTTAGACTGCTGACTGAAGTGTTTTTTCACAGATATTTGCTATTTTTTATAATCGGTTTCTCGCCGGTATGTATGCGTTCATGAGTTATGAGGTTAGACTGCTGACTGAATGTTTTTCACAGATATTGCATTTATAGGTTTTCCCGCCGATATATGCGTCAATGTTTCTATGTTTGTTTGATGAAAAACGTTTTAAACAAATATGGCAATTAAAGCCATCTTTGTTTCGAGAATAGTAATCTATTGAGTTTGTACTGCAACACCTGTGAAACAAAACATAAATAAATTTAAGATCAATATTTTTTATAGCAAATATTAAATATTACTAATATTAAATGTGTTAATGCATCAAACAAGCATACATTTTAAGAAATAATTTCAAGGATTTGGAATATGACACTTAAGTACTAAAATAGTTGTAATTTATCGGTTTGAAAATATTTGTATTTATGTTATTTTACAAAAATATAAATAGAATTTTCTAATATTCTAAAATATGGAAATTAGGAAAAATGTACTTATTTGACTTGTTTACAATGCACTAACTTCTGGATTTTAAATGACATCATGAGTATTACAATATATCAAATCTAAAAAGGTCTGCCTACAGGTTTAATATATTCTAAGTATAAAATGTGTGAATGTATTAATATTGTATAGAAAATATTATAGCATACTAGCAGTAGGGGTACTCTGAATGTTATTTTTTAAGAAAAAAAATTAAGAGGGGTCGAAAACTATTAGTAAATTTAAAAAGGTTTATATAATTGTAGAGCTTGGAGCAACAAACAGATAAGTGTACTTCTAAAAATTGTTCAGAACGTTCAAATAAAATTCTTTGTATTATTATTGGTATAGTACCATTAGTGTAAAAAATGCGTTTCTTATTATCTTTGTAATTGTTTTATGATACATAGTAATACCAATATAAACTAAAGCATCATCTGAAATTAACTTATTTAGACTAACTTATTTTAAAAAAAATTAATATTTTAGAATACTGATAACAAATTTTTGATTTTAAAAGATTTTGATTTTATTTTATTTTAAGTAAAATTGACTTTAAAAATATCTTATTTTATTTTAAAATATGTTCTATAAACGTTATAATAATAAAATATCGTAAAATAGCTTTATTGTACATTGTAAACCATTTAACTACTGTTTAACATGCATGTATACATTGTATACATTTTAAAGGAAATATTCATAGTTACTCAATTTATAACAACCAAACCGTATTATTTTTTACATAAAATATAATAATAAAAAAAGCAAGTGTTGTAAAGTTGAGGCAAAGTACGGACAGGGTAAATTATTTTTTTTTTTTTTATTAAATCTTCATTATCAAAATTTAAAACGACACTTATGCTATAACGTTTCAAACTTTTTTTAATATTTTAGTGATGGATATAAAAAATTTAGGAATCATGATGAATAATTTATTTTATTATTTTGTTTTAATGATATACACAATATTAATTTTCTTTATGACTATAGTTATTGTGTATATATTAAATTTAAAATAAAAGGCAATAATCACAATTACCTAAATTATAACGAAAAAAATGTTCTTACTCTATATATAAACATAATGAAACAAATAAAATTGTATTCAAATAAAAACGATTCTTATTTAAGTATTGAATAAAAAATAAATTTGTATCTTTTAAAAACGTCAATAAGGGAATAATTCAAAAACTAATTCACTAACTTATTTTAATACAATTTTAATCGGATCAACCACATAAACTGTGTTTTAATGATTTAAGATAAACACCTATGATTTACCTATAACTTTTCACAAAATTTATTACCTAACAAAAAACTTTAAAATTATCGACAGATTGACTTAACTTATGAAAATTAGCTCTGATAAATCGCACACCTATTTTATGTTGGCTTTCAAAGTAAAGACCACAACATTGTATCGACGATTTATATCAAAAGTGTTAAAACTAATTAAAAAAAAAAAATTCTTTTCTAATTATATAATGCAGCAATAGAATATTTTGGAACTTTTAGTTATTTAAAGTAAACCGATTTCTTTGATTGAACTGTAGATATGGTAAAAAATCAAACTTACCTAGTTAAAGACTTGTTTGACTTGCGTTCTAAATGGACGATTAAAAGGTACTGTGACCAAGTCCTATATAAACCGTCTGTGGGTTGTATTGTAACTATATTACGGAAAACACAAAAATTCCAAAATAATATAATCTGGTGTAGTTATTGATATTAATTGTTAATTGGGTATATACCTATACCGATTATATACCTGTCTCTGTCAAACTCATGATCAACATTTAAACGCAAATTGTGGCTAACGATCAATTAATAATACTAATGCGATAAGGAATATTAAAATAGTTTTGAACTCGTCCAAAAGTTTACTCGAGATGGGTTTTTACAATTTCATAATTAAAACAATTATTTTATGGCTTACATTTATATGTTGTATTGGTACGTTTTTAACAATATTTATATTAAAACGTTTGTTGTATAGTAGTTATTTATTTGTAAAGTTACCAAAGTCGGGGTTATTGAGTTTGAAGGAGAGTTTCTTAGAAAAAAACCATCTCAACAAAAAGATACAAAATCAATGCTTTTTGTACATCCACCTGTCCCAGGTGTGTGTGAATTTATGTACGATCTAATTATTGGAAAGATAGATCCTCCTTCAGTATTAAGACGAGGAATTCACCAGTTTACTGCTGTGTTTTAAATTTACTGCTGTCTTTTTCATTTAATGTACTACTAAAACGTTACCATTCATTTTTAAGAATCAAAGAATGATCTTACTTGAAAGACTTACAAAACTATTTGTTGAGACTGACACATTTTGTTATACCATTTATTAATTGTTAGGTAATATATTCATAACTTGTTGAAACTGATTTATAGTGTACATTTCAAATTGTTATATTTTATACTTTAACTATTAATTGTTAAAATTTTTCTTTTCTTTTTATGGATTTGCCAAGGGTATTGCAATGTTTATTAATAAAGTAAATGTTATGTATTAAATACCTACCTACCTAGTTATGAATTTAAAACCTATTTTTAAAACCATATACAAGTTGCAATACACCATTGCTATGGCTTTATTATTGCAACATTCATATTTTTTTTTACCTACGATTCAATTCACCCCACAATAAAGTGAATTGTAACATACCTACTTGAACAAAGAAGACAAAAAAACTTTTGAAATCGCACTTCCAATTTTTTTAAAATTTTATACCTGAGATAACAAGCCATCATTTAACAATTTCATATAAACTCTTGGATAAAAACTTAATTTTTAATTTAAGTTTGAAATTGAGTGAATCGTGAAAATCGCTGCAATTCACCCCGTTTAAGGGTAGTAATAGTAAATATATATTTATTTCATTCAGAACATACCTACTATCCAACTCAAATTTTTATTATTTATCATATATAGGTGTATATATAAAAAATGTTTTTCTAAAACGGTTTATTAATTCTAAATATTCAAAATATTATAAAAGTTTGAAGAAAATCGTCCGTTCCCAAGACTGTTGTCAACATAAAACACACCCGGTCGATGATAAAAAACAAACATGTGCCAATGTTGTTCGGTCTTGTAGATCAATACACATAAAATAAATTGTACTGAAGTTGAATGGGTAAAAAAACTAGAAACTAAAGTATATTTATGTAAAATTAAACACGCACGTTAGCAGTTTAAAATATTTTTATTTTATTTACAAAAATAAGTTAATGGTTTTATAATTTAATTTTTTTGTTTTCAATATAAATAGAGAATGTCCCAAAAGTCTTACGATTCATTTTACATGTAAATAAAATATTTTGGCTTAAAATAAAGTCGAAGAGAATATTTTTAAATATTTTGTGAAAGAGATGTCGACCGACACCTCGACAGTCTTTTTTTGGTGCGAACCACGCCACTGATCACAATGAGTTTAGTATTATGTCTATAAGAAATGTCATTGGTTAGGTATATATCTCTAGTAAATTAAAATGTATTTTTAGCGGTAAAACAATACGTGGTAACGAACCTTGAATTTAAGTAGGTAAAAAATATTATTACATACGTTTATTGTTATATAAAATAAAAACAGTATTTAATTATTGGGCTTTAAAAGGGAAATTAAAAAAAATAACTTAATGATATTAGTACCTTAAAATTTGTTTTAAGTAAGTAAAGTATAATAAACAAAATAAACATTTAAAAAAAAAATATTATAAATTAATTTAGTACAATTAAAACAAAGTTCAGTAAAGATAACAAAAAAGTTGATGTAAAAAAAAAATACATCAGCTGATAATAAATTGTATACATAAAACAAAACATTTTATTAAAACTTAAACGTGTCGTATAAATTGATCTAACGCATCAACTTTTGTCACACAGGAATAGTTTTACGGCATCTCAAGCGTTAATGCTTTTTGTTCTATCGACATACCCTACACCAATGTCTTCCATATCGTCGTAAGAACTTAGAAGTCTATTTTCAGCTTCGGAAGCAGACGTTTTTCCCATTAGAAGCCTAAGATAAAAATAAGTAATTCTTTTAGTTGTTTTTCACTACTACACTACTAAAATTAAATAAATTACATAAAACGTCTTTCTACATAAAGTAGCGTTTTTAAAAAAACCCATTTTTGTTATTCAATTACGAGACAACACAAAAGCTCAAAGAAGTTAAATGTTAGTGGACAGCGGTGAGCCATTACCAAAGCACGGTGAAAGATTAGATAAAATATACTAAATAGGTCTAGTGGGTATGAAGAGGAAAAAATTAAAAGGTATATAGTAGAAACAGGCACAAGACAAAAAAGCACAAACAAACACACTTAGTTCCAGACAATCATAGTCTGGAATATATCATGAACATATATTTTTTATACGTTTTCCACTAAATAATCAACAATAATGAGCGTACTTAGATATCGTTGAAGAATTCGACGACCTAATCATAGTCGACGGTTCTATGTCGTCTAACCCTCTGTGTATGGAAATGGTGTCTAATTCACCGTGAGACCTTGAAAGGTATTCGGATGTGGTCAACGTCATCATCGTGGGTTTTTTATAACTAAAAATCATACACACCTCAAGTTTATTAAATAGCACAGTTTACATTTATAGATAATTTATCAATACAAACATTTTAAGTAGAAGCGATGATCCCACAACGGATACTGAACTTAAGGCCATGGCGGCGGCAGCCATCCACGGCTGAAACAATAATAATAAAAAAGAAAATGTTTTATTAATAATTGAAATGCAAGTCGCATGATGTAACTCTTAACAATTTAATTACTTGTAACGTCAGTCCCAAAGGACTGAACACGCCTGCGGCAATCGGTATGCCAATCAAGTTGTACATACTTGCGAATAAAAAGTTTAGTCTAATCCTACGGACAGTTTTATTAGATAAGTCAAAACAGCCAACAACGTCTAGAAGATCGTTCTGTTAAAAGAAAAAAAAACCAACATTATTATCAGGATATATTATAATGTTTATAGAACGATTAATGTTAATCTAAATATATTCTTACTCTCATCAAAACGACGTCAGCTGCCTCGACGGCCACGTCTGTGCCCGAAGATATAGCGATACCCACGTCGGCCTGCGCTAAGGCAGGCGAATCGTTCACTCCATCGCCGACCATTGCTACTCGTATGCCTTTTTCTTGTATTGCTCTGATTTTGGCCACTTTATGAGATGGCAAAACTTCTGCAAAAACCCTGCTTATACCCACTTGTTTAGCAACCGCACAAGCCGTTTTCCTGTTGTCTCCGGTCAACAACATCACTTCGTAACCGCGTTTCAACAGAGTGTAAACCGCCAAATGAGCTTCTGGCTTGACGACATCGGACACACTTATCATTCCCACCAAAATGCCTGAGAAAATTAAAAATACATAAAATACAACATAACTTTCATAATTTTTTTTAAAAATTATTTATACCGTTGATGGCACACAATATAGCAGTATGGCCAAGAGTCTCTTCGGAAATCATTTTAAAATTGACTTCTTGCGGCATGGTTACGCCATTTCTAAACATCCACTCCCGATTACCGATCAACACCTGAAACAAAAAGTAATACACGCAATGATTATTTATTAGTAATAACCTCGACGATTTAATTATACCTCGTATTTGATTTCATTAGGCTTTTTATCTTCGTTCAAGTCCAGCAGTTTGTGTAACTGAATCGATTGAACTTCAGTTCCAGGTTTTCCCTCTTCCAGTTCGACTATCACGTTGTTGAACTCGAATGATGACTGATTGAGTCCACTTTGTTTAAAAATTAATTTGTTATTATTTCTTTACAATACCGTAGCCAGACAGGAATTTTTGGGCGGGCCCTCTCTTGGCTACGGTACTGCATTTAAATTAATATCTCGACGTTGCTTACCTCATATAGTTGTTATAGTTCATAATGAAATTAGATTTCGAACCTATTTTCAACAGATCGTCTACATGAGAAACAACGCATTTAATGCCACAACCGGCCACGGATTGAAAGCGTTCACATTTTCCTGATATTTCGCATCCAAACGTTTCTTTGACAAAATGCACAAGCGCTAAACAAACGAATCAACAGATATTTAAAAAATGTTTTGTATAAAAATTAAAAACTTCTCTAGTAGTTACCAGAAGCTAATGGGTGCTCGCTACTAATTTCGGCGTTGGCAACAATAGATAGGAGAAGGTTCAAAGAGCATATAGTGTTGTTTACAAATAAGCAAATCCGCGATACTGTTGGTTTTCCGTACGTTATAGTGCCCGTTTTGTCGAAAACAACGTATTTAACCTAAAAATCATCACACATGAATATCATCGTCAGGATTAATGACGATCACACATTACTTTGTGAGCGTTTTCCAACGCTTCAGCTCCTTTAATCAATATGCCGTTTAATGCGCCTACGCCGGTGCCGACCATAACGGCCGTAGGTGTGGCCAAACCAAGAGCACACGGACAAGCTATAGCTAAAACACTGAGTGCACATCTAAATGAATATTGTATAGCATTCTCCCAACCATCGGATCCGTACTTGTCTTCATTCTAAATTATATTCTATATGTTATTAACATGCAAATCGTATTAACGGTCAAGTTCAAACCATACTGGAATCGGTAGATATTGAATGTGATAACAGCCAATGTAAAGCCATGCCGCCAGAGTAATAGACGATATGGCAATTACGGTAGGAACGAAATAGCCTGCAATTTTGTCAGCAAATTGTTGTATTGGCGCTTTAGACGTCTGCGCTTGTTCTACCAGTCGTACAATTTGGGCTAACATAGTCGCTTCTCCCGTATGTGTAGCAATCATCAACAGAGGAGCGGTTTGGTTCATCGAGCCCCCGATGATTAAACTTCCTAAGAGACGGAATGAAAAAAAAATCAGTAATTTCCAAATTGCTTTGGGTTCTATCTAGCTTACCGGGTTTTTTGTTCACTGGCATTGACTCTCCGGTGATTAAAGACTCGTCACAAGCCGATCGGCCATGTAAGACTTTACCATCAACTGGCACTTTAGTGTTGGGCAATACCCTGAGTATATCACCGCGTTTGACCAGTTCCACCCGGATTTCCTTTTCGGTAAGCACTTGATAATCATTGGTTATGGTCACCAATAAGGCATCGGTGGCTTTCAACGACAACAGTTTGGAAAGAGCTTCAGAAGTTTTCCCCTAAAATTATTTATTCTTCTTTCAGTATCGTACAATGTAGAAATATCGGTAATATCGAAATATTTACCTTGGCAATATGTTCCATCCATCGACCTAACGATATGAAGACAAACAACATCGGGGGCGTATCAAAAAATGTCATTGGACTGGAATGTTTGGCTGGTGTGTCAGTGACTGCTATTAGTACAACAATAAGTGAGTAAACATATGATATTGTGGTTGCCACCGATACAAGCACATCCATATTAGTAGTGCCGTGCCGTATAGCTTTCCAAGCTTGAACGTGAAAATGCCAGCCTCCGATGAACTATCAACACAGACATATTGTTATATTATTGACATATTATTATACATGATATATATATATATTATTATTTATTTTGTAAACACAGAACATGTTTTTTGGGAAGGAGGACAAATTTTTGTTAAAATATTGTAGTAAAACAATGGTGAAGCGTCACAGGAGACATCAAGACGATGTCTACCCATTTGGGTTTTAATTTAAGTAACAAATCATTTTATGTACATACGTTTTAAGTACGATATTGACTGTCTCCCCGCCTTTAAAACTTAAGCCTCGCTGCTGTCGTGAAACTATATTGTGTTATATTAATTATATATACTGGTTAATGTTTTAAACATGTTCCACGTATGTCAAAAACATAGTTTTTGAATTGACAATAAATAATAGTACCTGAACGGGAGTAGATAAAATGAACATTATTAGATTTTCTAATGAAAGCCCAGGTATGACACAGCACATGGACGAATGATCTATGAACCCAAACGTCATGCCCATCATGAAATATGTCATCGCGATAATGCATGGACCGCCGAACAAAAGAGAAATTAAGAAAGAGTTTCGCCATTTATTTATTTCTTCACTAAAACAAAAAAAATATATATAATTAGTTTTCTATAAATAAACTTTGCTATTAAATAAAACGATACCTATGGTCTAAGTAGCTTCTGGAACCTCGATCTTTGTTGTTTACTAAATCGGCGGTAAAGCCGAGAGCAACAATATGATCAACGATGTCTCGAGGACTAATTAAATCGCTATCATACGTGAACGCTCCCTTTTGTGTAGTAAGCGCTACAGCTGCTTTTTGTATTCCTTTTAATTTTAAAATATTACTCTCAATTTTGTTCACACAAGAAGAACACGTCATGCCTCCAATCTAAACGACAAACAAACATTTATACAACAACCTTTATACTTGAACAAAATTCCATTATTGAAAAATTGGTTTTTCTTACTCTTAGTTCAATTTGAGTTTCACGTGAATTATTCTCGGTTAGAACTATACACGGGAAACCTAAATCTGTGATGGAGTTGGCTATGTCTTCTGGATGCAATATCAAAGAATCATATTGCACTTCGGCTTTTGCCGCCATCAATGCGACCAAAATACTTTTAACGCCTTAAAATCAAAAAAAGTCACAAATCAAATGATGAATAAACATATTAATGTAGAAATTAGAGATGAAAACACAAAAATTAAAATTTTTACAAACACATATTTTAAATACAACTTGTCGACAAGAAATAAAAATGCTTGCGAGTTTTTCTTTATAGACTTCTTAGTTACTTTCAGTATTGTTTTTATACTGTCGTAAAGGCAACAGTTTATTAATATTGGAATTGAAAAAATAATTTAACAAAGGTTTTTTTTTGTAAATTTGTATTTCTCAGTTGCCATCTCTAGTTGAAATTCAATGTTATTATTAAGTATGATAATATATTACCTTTGATTTTAAGACAATGTTTTTCTATTGCGATAACACAAGAGGCACACGTCATGCCTTTGATATTCAAATAAGCTTTACTATATTCGTCTTCGGACACAAAGGTGCTGTAGATATTTTGGGGAGAATCTATTTTTTGGTCTCCTAACGACACCTTAAACTTAGAGTTTATAGCTGATATGGCCGCTGCTAAATCCGATGTATTTATTTCTGCCGGACGATGAACAACGGTCGCCTGTTTCTCTTCCAGACTGACAGATATTGAGGTGACACCGTTTAACGCACCGATTTTGCCTAGTTTGTGTCATGTATCTGTTTAGAACACCTCTGAATATAATATACATAATTATTTGTCATTTACCCACCTTCAATGTTTCTTACACAGTTCATGCAAGACATTCCGTCAATTTGTATCGTTGTTGTTGTAGGATGAATTGGTACGGTGAACCCTAATTCGGCTATTGAAGACTGAAGTTCGAACAGTGTAATTGTATTTGAGTCGTATAATACATGAGCAGATTTATCTTCAAGATTCACCTAATTCAAAGAAAAAGACTATTCAATCAGTGTACAACTTAAGAATATAAATTCACAAAAAAATATAATACTCTAATGCTGATGACGCCGATTTTTTCTTGAACGTGATTCTGTATTTTACGAACACAAGAATTACATTTCATGCCTTCTATGTGTATGGTAACCTCAGTTTGTTTTTCTGGTTCAAAAGACACTAAGAACCCCATTTTATCGATAGTTTCTTTGAGTGCAGCGGAGTTGATTAATTTCGAGTCATAAGTTAAACGTAATTTATTTTTACTAACAATGTGACTCTAAATTAAAAAAAGAAAATTCATAAAACAATTTGGTTTTAAACATCATATTATGAAATCAAGATCACTTACTTTAATCACACCGGGTATATCTTGAACTGTAACAGCAACTTCAGACGCTCTCGAAGTTACAGTCAATATTATGGTTTTATATTGCACATCGATCGACGAATCCGACTCATTTTCAGATGACAAACTGTAATTAAAAAAATAAAAATATAATTCAAAAATGTATTTTAAAATTGTATGCAAGTACAATACCCGGGTAGGATTATATTATTAGACTCTTCGTTTATCAACAAAGAATAAGCCATTCTTTTGAAGAAAAAACAACTAACATAAAAACATTAAAACAACAACTGAATTCCGTTTTAATTAACACGATTTATAGCTTCAATAAAATTTTTTTTAAAAAGGTGTAGGTAGTAAGTACTAAAAGTGGAAACAAGTGTTCAATATCTGAATAAGATAACCTTTGTGGATCTACGAGATAAAAATGTTAATGGAAAACACCTTAGGTAGATTATGACTATTATGAGCAAAATACAGATAAAATATTATCAACTAATACGATCTATTAATAAACGGTCAATAATGTAATGTGAAAATAAACGTACATTTACAATAATACAAACAATTATTAGACTAACGACGTCAACAGTCAATCAGGAATCTCATCCTTGAGATATAGATAACAACAATTGTTTAGTGTATTATAATCAATTTTAAGAACAACATCAAAGATGAGTAAGGTAACGTTATTAAAATAAGATAATAACATAGTAACCTAATTAAAAAAAAAAAAAACCAATACCCAACAAATGAAAATGATTTGAAATGGCCATTGAAAATAAATAGCAATATATATACACAATGAAATAGGAATGTATATATATGTATATTAAACCATTTAATTAAACTAAATATATATTTTTTTATTTAGTCTAATATAAATGGATGATAGGTATAAGGGTGTAAAGCATGAAGCTAATGCATGTGTGCACATAGATATGATATAATAAAAGAAACAAATTGGTTCAATAATAAATTTATAACATAAAATTACACGTTTTCGTAAAAAAAAAGAAAAATGTCATTAATATGATTTGCAATGACATCAATTTGAATAGCTTCAGCTGAATTCGTCCACAGTTAAAAATAAATTAACAAAACGAAACAAATTGTTTAAATAGTAAATTTATGGCATGAAATAACATGTTTTCGAAAATAAAATGTCATTATTATAATTTTTAATTACATTAATTGAATTGAATCAGTTGAACAAACGACATTAATTACATTGAATCAATAATAACGTACAACACGAATATAGTACTATGATTTTAAGTATTTAATTAATGTTTGTAAACGGATGTTAAAGTGGGTTAACACGTCGAGTTTTATTTGGGCAAACTGGCAAATCGTAAAAAAATACACAAGTTATTTGAGTGTATAAACTAAAAAAGTTAATTCATCAAACATAAGACGTTTTGTTTCAGTAAGCAAGAAGCTAAAAAATGGTAATTAATAGTATAACTTGGATCGAAATTCAATATCTTAAATTGTTTTATTTTAGCTTCACTATAAGTCAATGCTCTAAAGATACTAATTTAGGAATTTTTATACTTAACATATAAAATGGTATTTCATTTATAAACAAATATTTCTAAACAATAAAATATTTATTAGTTACATCTATACAATAACATGATGATGGTGTATTAAATATTAAGATAAAGAATAGTGATTACAAATAAATAAATAAATTTATATTTACCAAGTTGTTTTTTCTAAAATAAATAACAACACAAAAGTGTGCAGTGTAAAATATACTATCAGTATAAAATAAGTCACACAATACAAACATTCTCTCTCATATGAATATTATTGTCAATCTAATACTTAACACAGACCTTGGAAAGTAGTAAGAGCAAAAACTGGAATAAAACACTTTCACCGGTTTGTTACACAAAACTCCCATACCATCTTATATTATCCCTTCTCCAATTATTCATTGAACTACATTCTTAGAAGCTATTATATGCTAGTATAATGATTAAGGTAGCACAATAATAATTAGGTGATTAGCGAAATGGCTGTTAATGTATCTATATTGATTTTGTTTATGTGAGAAATAATATTAGGTTATATTCTGTATCATAAAGCAACGTGTGTCAATAATGCATGATTAAGTAATTAAAAAATATCGGTGAGTTGATTTGACTCATTTTATACAATAATTGTGTTACACCAGTGTATTTATGTGAGTTAATTATTAAATAAACAATAGTAATTGTACAACAGTTAATTTAAAATGAACATCTATTATACTTAAAATTTCAATACTTATTATTGCTAATAGTAATAACTCATCATGATTAAAGCTAATAAACCGGGAGATGCTTTTAACGGCCTACTAATAATTGATATTTTTTGTAGGTTTTTTTTCATAGTCTTTATTTAAATAAAATGGTAGTTTTTCTTTTTGAAAACATTTTTGTTTACGCTATATTACAATATTAGACGATATTGCAAATTTCTATTTTTTATAGCTTTATCAACTTTTGAAACTTAAATGGTACCATATAATATATTTCATTGACTTTTTAATCTATTAGACTATTAAGAATAGTTTGCAGTTTTGGATAGTTTTAAATTTTAAACATATTTAATTAAAACTGGTTATCAACCAGTCAAAAGTTTCAGTAAATTATTCTTAATTTTAAATTTCATTTGATTTGTTACCATTTGAGTTTCAAAAGTTAATACAGCCCTAGTAAATAATAAAAAAGATAAAAATTTGAATATTTCCTTTAAGAACATAAATATAAATGTTTTCTAGAAGAAATTGCAAATTTTTTAAGAGTAAACTAATGTAGAATCACCTGGTTAGATATAAAATGAATAAAAATTATTTTTTTTAGCTTAACTTATTAAATGTATAAAAGGATTAATAGAGGTAAAAACAATCAATACCCGAGTCTAAACAAAGCAAGAGAGTGAATGAGTGCCTATCAAACTAAAGTAATTCTAGTAATTAAAATAAGAGATAAGTACAAAAACTGATAATGTAATTGATGTTTTTTTTTCTTAATTAATTGTTTGGAAAATTCATATTGTTAAAAAATGTTTATCTAGCATATGTTTTATGTGTGATACCTTATGTTTAAATAGGGATAAGATCAAGAAGATTACAAATTAAAAAAATAATGGTTTTTTTTTAATAAACTTATAGGTAGTTTAAATGTCTACCTAATTATGACTGATATATTATATTGATTAGGCTTGGTGGATCAGTTATTTAAAACTTGACCTATGTTTATGTCATACAAAAGAAATTGTAACTAAAAAAAAAAATCTAGAAAATATTTGTCTTAAATACCTAGGTAGTCGACATAACATCATTTAACTAGAAAAATAAAAATTGATACTTATAGTATATCTATTTCACTTTTAAAAGTGACATTTTCAAAAATGTCTCTCAGTGTGTTTTTAACTGTGAGGAGACAATTGTTCCCTGTACATTTTTTTTTTAAAGTATTTTACTTACAAATTTTGTTTGTCCTGTGTTCTTGTGGCTTGCAGTTCTAATATGTCATTTGGTAACATGGTTACAGGTTAAATTATCCTTGAAAACAATTATAATAAAAACAAAATATTAAAAACAAGAAAAAAGAGACGTATATTATATATTTAGCGTAATAGTTAAAAAAAATTTACTTTATTTTTAAATACGAGTTTCTAATACATTTTTATTTTTTATTGGTTGCAATAAGTAGTTAAAAAATAGTTGTCAAATTCAAACATTCCAGACTTTCGTGAAAATGCTGCACGCCCTATACAACTGGAGTAACACGATTTTTACAATATTAATTTATTGCAATCGCAATGTATTATTAAAATTAAAAAAAAAAAAAATCTAGAGTCAACGCTCTTTATGTCGATCATCATTAACACTTTTCATGAATCATGATTGTTATAATGTTTTTGTTGAAAGGTTTTCAATGATAATTATTATCTTAAAGTATTTGTTTTTTTTTTTTGTTTCATTCCGAAGGCGTTATCTTATCAGTGCCGTTGCAGGCGGTGCACCACTTGAAGTTGTCTGCGGTTCACCGGCCACCTTAGGCGCGAGATCCGTTGCCCGTGGAAACGGCAAAAGTTCATCAGGGCGGGGCGGGGACGCAGGCAGCCCGCAGCAGCAGCAGCAGCCAGCAGCCGTCGGCGGCACGGGACACCACTCACCACAGTCACCAGTCACCACTCTGCTGCTCTCGTTGGCGGGTTGAGGTCGAGGCTGTTCGGCGCTACGCTCGAGGTACCATTACGGCTGAGCACACTGGCCTACCTGGCGCAGGAGGACGACTAGGACCGATTGTCTCATCTGTTGTATAGTATAATATTATAGTATTTTTGCACAGGTCTGTGCAGCACAGATCCTGACTACTTGGGCCAGCAAGACGTGGTGTTCCCCGGCGAAAGTTCAAAGAGAGGAGCTCACAGAAGACCATCGGCGGGTCGCCATCCGCCTGGACACATGTCCTTCGGGTCCGCACCGGGTAGAGCGGACTAATGATCGGCTTGTAAATTGTCACCGACGATATGGCCGACGAAGATTTGCTCTTCGATGATGTATACGAACTACTGGAAACCATTGGGAAGTCAGTATTACACTCCCTTCATACATATTAAATGAGAGTGTTGTTTGCGTAGCTACCTCTCCGATAATATAACGAATATCGCGACAAACAACCTATTCGAGAGTTTAATTAGACTTCAGTTTGATTGAGGATAACAATTTTGTAGTTCTCAACTCGGAAGGTATTAATCCGATTAATTATAATCAATTCTATTCTTGATTTAGTGTCTTATTATATAGTATTCCTTAGGTTTTAAAACAATTTCTTCTTTTTTTTTTATTATTTAGACTGTTTCTAATAATTGGTCTCGATGTTTATATGATTAAAAATACAATATTGTATGACAAATTCAGCTTTAAGGTGAAATGAAATCGTACACAATTTTGAAAGAGAATTTTATAGGAAACATTAGGGTTAAAGGTGATTAAGTGTTAAATCTGTGAATCACTCATAAACTTTTTACATGGTACCTAGTTTATAATGTTGTTTAAGTTCACACAACATTCTTTTATTAATTCAATATATTACCTACCTAATCAGTTTCAATTATTTACTGAGTGAATTAAACTTTGCCCTAGCAGTATTTCAAAGGAAAATTTTTTTTTTTATATAAAATTATAATAATTTAAACATTTTTTGTCTGAAAAGACTACACTTTGAAAAAGTTAAATTGATAATTAATTATTAATATACATTTTAAGAGCTATCGTTGATTTTAGAGTGACCAAAGTTATGTAATTTTTTACTAAAATTATTTCATAAATATACTTTTGTATTTGTATTTTGTATCAAAAGACATTTATTAGAAAAATTAAACAACTCGGGCTCTTAAAAAAAGTTCATAAAAACCATACTTAATTTCATTGTTCAATCATTACCCATAGTAACATACCTATTATGTTTAAATTTTACTTCATAATTATTTACAAATGAAAATAAAACTAATAAAAAAAAGTTTTATATTATATACAAATAATCATTCCTATAATCTTAAGAGGTCTAATTTTGATTTACTAAACATTAATATTTCATTATTAGATTGTGTTTAATTTAACATATTCTTATATTGAAAAATACTTTATAAATTTACCATCTTTTTTATTATTGAAAAAAAGTGCTTTATTTTTAAACTATAATCTATACACATTGGCTACTCAACAAAATATCTAATTATAGTTAAACAATTAATATAAATTAAACATTTTCAAATAAGTCAATTAATATTATTAATAATTTATTGAAAATATCTTATCACAAATTAGTAATTACAATGAATCCATTTCAATTGTTATGACAATGTTGTATAATTGTTGATTTTGAAATTTATTAATTGCATCATAGAAATTGTTCATTTTCTCGTTCTTGAAAAAACTGTTGATTTTTACATCTTCACCTATTTCTTGAAAATGGGCGAAAACGGATTTGACAATATCTGAGATGTTCATATTATTCAGACGACCTTCGTTGTTCAAGTACATCTGAATACTTGTTTTCATAAACCAAGTCATTGTTCTTTCATCAAAATTAAATTCATTCGGTTGATTCAATAAATGTATGTCACTGTTATTTTCTTCTATGTCTTCCTCTAACCCTTCAAAATTATTATAATTAAACTGATTTGTCTTTGCCGAAGGATTCCAACCAAAGATTAAGCAAAATGCTTTTTGCAAGCCTATCCATGGTTCTGTGTCTCGACAAAATGCTAATAGCATGGCGCTATAGTTAAAATGATTTTGCGTTTTATACATATCATACAGTAGCCGTTTAATTGTGTTTCTACGCTCTGATCCATTTTCGAACCAAAGTCTTGTGGTTTTGTAAATATTTGTATTTATTGTTTCGTTGCCGATACTATCATGAGACTTGAACAGCTTTCGGTAGAACAAAAACTCGTCAAACTGTGGATACGGAAGCTCCAGACACTGAACGGCAAAGTCTCGCCAATCTATAGTCTTCACGATACTTCCAAGCAAGTGTTTAGGAAAATTGTTGTGAAACCGATCGGTTTTAGGCCAATTTGTTGGATATATCGAATGTCTCTTGTGAAGGTCATTTAATATTCTAATCAGTTCTGAAATACACATTTTATAATCCGGTACGTCGTTTAAAAGTGCATTTACGATAATCTCTAAACTTTCTATCGAGAAAGTTTCAGTTGGAATTTTGTATTTTTTATGAACTATTTCATTAACGCTCAGTTCATTTATGTAAAGTCTTCCTAATTTTTGTTTTAAATCGCCTTTGATTGTTTTGTCTAAATTTGCTGTACATCTAAACAGTAGACATAAATCGTTTATATCGCTTATTTTGAAATTATGCGCATGCTTGATTGTTTCCAAGTGTTCATCGACTTTTGACATATTGTTTAGTTTTATCGTGTCCGCTAGTAGGCAAGCTTTAAGCCGATGAGTTTTGTCGATAAATCTGCTCATTTCCATTTGTATTTGGTTAATACATTCTAGATCGAATGCATTGCCAAACTTGTTTATTTCATTTTTTAATTCTTGTATTAAAGTTTTGCAAGCCGTTTCGAAATGTTCTGTGTGTTCAACAGTGTCCATAAGGGTTGTGTTTATCTGAAATTTCCCTATTTCTATATCGTGCCCGTCATTGTAATAGTTGGCTATAAAATCAAAGGTCGTCACAGTCCGGTTCAACTCGACTTTCAACAACTCTTTATGTACTTCTATCAGAGATTTCAGTTTGTCCGTTTTCCACTGCTCGTTGAACGTACTTGTTAAGTATTGTTGCGTTTGAATTAATTCATTATCGGCTTGGTCCCACAAATTATTTTGCAGTTTAAACAAATCGCTTTTTAACCCTTCACTATTATTTTTACTAGCTGAGTTTGTGTGGGCATTTTGAAAATGTTGCAAGATTTTCATCATGCAAGGATTTTGGACTTGTAGAAAATCATTGACGGTGTTTGTAATTGAGCGTCTCTGTAATATTAACTCCTCGAATATGGTTTCTCTAGAGTTCAACATTTCTTTTATACGATAAATGTAATTATGTTCCATGTTCTCCCATATATAACATAAATTCATGGCTGTATAGTCGGTGATATTGCCTTGAAAATAAATAAAATCACTCTGTTGGGGTTTCATAGTGGAATTGTCGAACGTTTCAGAATCTTGTGATGTGTCTTCGTTGACTATGTACGAAGACGACTCTTTTATTTGCATATCTTCACTCTCGGTACCGCTTACGTCGATATCGCTAGAGATTTTCATGATTTCAAACAGTTTGTTCAATTTCATTTCGCCTTCTTTGTTGTTCAAGATTATCCTAAGCAGATAGTCCGCAGCATCGGTTGATTGACTTAAAATTGTTTCGTTTCGTTTGATCAGCACTTTTAGACAATCGTGCTGTCTATAGAACTGCAGGAAATCGTTCCAATGTTCGTCTTTAAACGTGATTTTGCTATTTACAATTTTTATGTAGTGCGTTAAATATGTTTTCGTTAACGACAATGGATTGTTATCGGAGTCTCCAAAAACGATCAAGGATTTTTTCCGTAACTCGTAATTTTTTTTTTCCCCATAACTTGGCAATTTCCCAGTAAGCTTGTACTCGAATAAGGCCACTTGCGCTGGCTGAATCGGAAAATCCAACAGGACCCAACCGTTCTTTTCTTGATATTCCTTTATGTATTCGGCCACTATGTTTATAGTATCGCCATTTTGTAGATCGACGTTTCCCAGCTGTTTGTTCACAATGATTTTACCCAAACTGGCTAGCGCACTGAATACCGGATTCAGATAATCCGGTTCAGGAATCGTTTCCGGTGTTTGTGTTTGTTTGTTGATGCATTTTTTTTTATCGTCATTATTCTCAAACGCACTATTCGGCTTCAAGCTAGACACCGACCGACTGTTCGATACGTTTGTTGCACTCGATCTTGAATATTTGGTCTTGCCTACAAAGTAATGAAATTAACAAAAAAAAAACAACCAAGTAGGTAATTAATAAAAATTTACCTTTTAAACTGACATCATCGATATTGCCGCCAACATGTTTTTGTTCTTCTTCTATGACTTGACATATTTTGTTTAAGTGTTCAGAAATCATCATTTCTTCTTTAAATTTGTTGATGCAAGTAGTGATAGCGTCGTCGAGGGTAAAACACAAGACATCTTTCTTCGTTAAATGTTCTTTTAGTAATTTTATGACTTTGGCATTGTGTATCCCTTCTATAATAGCCGCTATTTTATGTTTTTTTATTTTAACGTGTTTCACTTCACTCTTGCAGTATTCAAAGTTCAAAACTTCTTTGATCATTTGTGATAAAATTGATTGATCATATTTATAATCGTCGATGTTCAAATATCTAGAAGACCACTCGTCAACGTGCTGTAAATATTTGCTAAACAACAAATATCTACTTTCTCTCGAGTCATAATAACTTCCGTTGTCGTTTGAGTTGACTGATCCGGTTTTTGAACTTTTCAACGTCAATGGATCTTTTATACTTTCGTCTTGAAATTCGGTTTCCAACTTTCCTGACTTTTTGCTTGTATGTTGGATATCACACAATTTGTTACTAGAAAATGTATTGATTGAACTAGTTGTTTGCACTTTGAGTTCTGTATTTTCATCACTGATGATAATTTGGTCGGAGTTTTGCGATTCATTCGACACAGTCGGTCCATTATAAATAATACCCGAATCCTCTAGATTAGTAATGATAAGTTCACATATTTTATTGTCTTTTTCGATACAACACTTGGTTTTGAATACCTTATTAATATTTAGTATGACAATTTCATTGAAATAATCCATGTTGTGAGCTACAAAATCCAATGTGTAATTTTTAAACGTGTCGATTTTATAATTTGACTTCCGATCAACAACACTACACTGTACATTCTTCGAGTCGTAGAATAGTCTAGAAATTAAATCTGCATTGTAGTCGAGTGTAATTAATTCACTTGTCTGTTCCTTATTTTTTAAACGACGAGTAACCAAACATTTTGAATTAGTTGTCTCACCTAATGAACCGTTATGGTTTATTTCTTTTTTAGTAGCAGTAAAGTTTATTCTGTCCTCTAAAACTCCAGACTCGGATGATTCTAACTTGAAATACAACTGACACAACAATCCCAGTGTTGAGACTGATTGAGCGCAGGCTATTTCGTGGACAACTCTTTCTTCGACTCGAATTCCCAACACTTCTAGCCATACACATACGGTTTGTATGTTCCTTAAACATGCAGCATAGTAATCGGTTTCCTTAAACATAAGAGCATAGTAGGTTGGTATGACGTGGTATTTTTGCAATAGACGAGCTAACAAAACACCGTCTTTAAACTTTTCTCCAACATTTTCAATATTAAAATTAGCACAATATATTCCGAGTTTGCTCATTAGCCATCGTCTTATGATTGTTAACATTTTAAAAAAAAAAAAAATTATATAGAAAAAAAATGATTATTATTAATCAAAATAATTTGTTTTGTCTCCTAGAAACTATTTTAAACTAAAAATTTTTTTTTTCTTTAGGGGACCATTTAGTTTAGTAAAAAGATGTGTGCATCGTCAAACCGGAAAGCAATTTGCTGTCAAAATTGTCGATGTTGCAAGTTTCACGTCAAGTCCGGGTTTAAGTACATCAGGTAAACTTATACCATCAAAACAACGGTCTGTTACAAATTGCGGTAATTTCTTATGCGATAAAATCATTTTTTTTTTTTAGATTTAAAACGAGAAGCAACTATATGCCATATGCTGAAACACCAACATATCGTCGAGCTTTTGGAGACATACAGCTCTGAAGGATTGTTGTATATGGTTTTTGAATAGTAAGTTACTGTGAATGATTATATTTCATTATATTGTTGAGTTAATAATTAAATGTGTTCATTTGTTTACAGTATGGATGGTTCAGATATCTGTTTTGAAATTGTACGTAGAGCAACTGCTGGTTTCATTTATAGTGAAGCTGTTGCCAGGTATACAATTTTTTATACTCGTCTAAGGATTACAAGCCAGTTGATGACCAAACTTAATAGTTTGTTTTTGGTACTTAGCTGTTGACTTGTATCCTTTTTACTCTCTCAATACACCTATATTGTTATAAATGTTACAGGTAAAAGCCAAAATCGGTAGGTTAAATTGTATCGATAAAACTTAACTTTTCAGTTTTCGCTTAAGATAGTGTTTTAGTTTATTATGTCGATTGATGCATAATATCTAACGGTACAGCCTAAAATAAAATAATCAAAATATTATCTGTAATGTATCTTGGGCAAAAATATAAATACTAAAATATTAAGTTTTCTCCTGACATCACAACAGCACTTCCCCAAGAAACGCCTAATTGTTTTTGGGAATGGTCCGATTTTGGCTTTTGCTCTTAACATCAATTATTATATCTTTAGATGAAGAATGTAATTTTATTATAATTTTTTTTAGCCATTACATGAGACAGACTCTTGATGCGATCCGATATTGTCACGAAAACGATATCATTCACAGAGATATCAAACCCCATTGCGTTCTTTTAGCCACTAAAGAAAACTCGGCTCCAGTCAAGCTAGGAGGGTTCGGTGTGGCAATACAGCTACATGACGGTGCCTCTATTAATGGAGGTACTAGTTGCCTATTTTATTTGTTACTACCTCGATAGATATGATTTATTTTTATTTTTATTTATTTATTGTTTAATTATTATTATTTATGTTTGCGATACTTTTTTAAAGCAAAAAGTTTTGATGATTTATCCCGACCCAATTTGAGTGCCAATGGACAGGTGTATTTACAGTCAGACAGAGAGGGTAAGAGCACTATAATATTAGTGTGCAATTAAATAACACTGGTGCTGGTTAAAACTAATTCGCTTTCTTCGAGGCTCCCGTACACAATGTTTAATCGGAATCGATAACGGTTTTATGCATTTTAAACTAAACTATAAATACATTTAAAAAATAACCTCACGATATTTAATGTTTTTTTAATTTTAGTCTTGTAATATTAAACCAATTTCATATGAGTCACTTTGAAGCAAAACTGAAATGTAAAGTATTAATTAAAATTTAGAAATTTGATGAATTTTTTCACCTAAATACATTGTAATGTTTCGATAAAATATCTTAAATAATCAAATTAAAACTAAAGAGATAAAATAAAAATGGTTTTAAATTTTAATATATTCAGTAATGTAGTCAATTGGTGCCAAATATACTACTGTCTATCTTCTAATACTACTGTCTGCATGGCTTGTTTTATTAACAAAAATATTCTAGTTAAAAGTTTTTTTCGTTGGTAGGTACGTATATATTTTTTTTCTTTTTAGTTAAATATACCTACACACGTTCATGTTTTTAGTGCACATTCCTAAGATCTATGATAACTTACCGGATTTGGAAAAATTGGAAGTGGCTGAATATCATCACGGTATAGACGATTGATTTGACATGCATCTATTTCACTATGTAGCTGCTAACATTTCTAGATATCAAACTGTATCATAAAAATAGTTAATATGTTGCTTAAAGTCTTAACTTTTTTTATAGTGTGATTGAATACTAATAGTAATTACAGTCGTGATTATTTTTTACTTAATTATTAGTTGAAATAAAATGTGTAACTTGTAACTGAGAATGTACACACAGTGTGTTCCAATCAAAGTTTCAGATATTCCAAGAAAATAGTTATTATTTCGTAGTTATTCTTTTTGAAAATAGTTTTGCTTATATTTTTATTTTACAACGTTTTTAATAATTCCAAGTATTTTACCTTTTTTAGTAATTATGGTAAACAATAAAAAAAAAGGTATCAACAGTTGAAACTAAAATGGTAACATATATCATATATTTGATTAACTTTTTTAATTAAAAATAATGAAATGTGGTCCGGCGAGTTAAAGCTCGCAGATAAATATGAAATGTTCTTGTAAATAGTAATTGCAGTGTATGATATAAAAAAGCCAGCACAATGTGGTTGTCACAGGTTTTTAGGAATTATTATCATTGAAAGAAAGTTACTGAAATCTGCTAAGTCCGATTGCAACAACGTTTTTTCAAAGAAGATGATTTCTTACAAAGACAATTGGATTTATATTACGTTACTGAAAACTGAGCAAAACAAATTGAATTAAAATCACTTAAAAAAACGTATTATAGCGTTTAGAAATAGAATTATAAATTTGGAACTATATCGGCTGTTCTTGATTATGTTTCAGCGCCCAATAATAGCATCCTTTCAGTTATGATTTCTGATCTATAGATTTGCTACACAAAGAAATCAGTTTAGCGGTTTAAGATATATATATATCGTGGTCTAGACACAAAAATAGTAAAAAAAATACCGTTACAGCTCCGCATTGTAGCTTAAATAACAAACCCAAGTAGTGTTTTTGAGTTCTTACTCGTTTAGTCTTTAACAAACCAAACTTTACGGGTTTGTTTTGCACCTATACACTTTTTATTTAACAGCTTCTAACTATACACGTATGAGCTTAACGTTCTGGATGTAATATACACTAACAATCAGTAACAAGTAATAATTAGTATTTATTAACTGTTTGTAGGGCGAATTGGAACACCTCATTTCATGGCACCCGAAGTCGTAGAAAGACAGCAATACGGAAAAGCTGGCGATGTTTGGTCTGCTGGAGTTATTTTACACATATTGCTTACGGGTTTGACGCCATTTCTGGGAACCGGAGATCGTCTGTACCATAACATATGCAAAGCCAAATTAAATGTCAGTAACGGAAGTTAACAGATTAACTATTGATAAGACTTTAATGAACTTCAATTTTTTTTTTTTTCAGTTTAATAGGCCCCACTGGGAATCCATCAGTGAAGCCGCCAAGGACTTGGTGTGTAAAATGCTTTGTTTAGATCCAAAGAAACGTCTTACTATTGAAGAAGTACTTAACCATCGGTGGCTAAGGGTAACATTTGATTTAGTTTGAGCTACATTTGTACACGCGTTACTTGTTAGATTTGTATAGTTAGCTAATATTATTCAATGTGTTGTAGGAAAGGGATAAAAACGCTTCTAAAACACATTTGGTAGAAACTGTGGAACAGTTAAAAATATACAACAGCCGTAGACGACTGCGTGGTGCTGTTATGTCTGCTGTATCGTCATCACGATGGACTTATCAGTCTTCGTTAGACTCCAATTCAAATGCTGTTGATCAGTTTTCTGATTTTGGAGATGACGATACTACCAATTCAGGTTGATAATATTAATATTCTAGTGTGTTATGTCAAGTGGTCTGTACTTTATTGTGGGGGAAAAATATGTATGGTCGATCAAACTAAAATATTGGTATTTGTGTGTATATTTATTGTACAATATAAATCGTCATCACGCAAGCTTAGCGGGCCAACGCTGCCGTCGTGATATGATGGTTTCTAAAGGAATTCACTGCCCTAACTTTAATGCACACTCTTTAAACGGTCCTAATTTGGATTTCTAAAGTCCAAGTGCAAGTATATTAATAAAAATTAGACATTACAAAATGGCAGTTATGTTGAATAACATTTGAAATATATATAATTTTTTTAATTAAATTTTTCAAGTAAAATTTGTAATGTACATAATATTTAATGTTTTTAAAGCCGTCGGGGTTATCCTGAGCTCATTAGATGACATTCAATGTATTCAAGAGGGACTTTCTGATTCGCCACAAATCGTGTTACCGCTATTGGAGGACGATCAGTTGTGTAAACTTTTGAAGGTCGGTATAAAATGATTTTTTTTATTTTTTAAAAACAATGTTTTATTAAGAATGTTTAGTTTATAAATTACTGTATATTAAATAAGTAAAATATGTCTATGGTGCACAGTTGTCATAAGTACATTATTTTGAGGTATTGAGTTTAGTACAGCAACTGTAGATACCAGCAATTTAACCTATATATATATATATATATATTATGTTAAAAGTTTAAATTATAAGATCACTAGATTAGACAAGATAAGTGTAGTATTATAATACAAATATTTGCACTCTATATATTTTACATGTATCTAGAAATTTGTAATTGGGTTTAAATCCAAGTGTTATTTGAGATTTTTGAAGTTGTTAATGACTATTTGCCTTTGTAATTTAGTTCTATTTAAAAGATTATCTAATTAAAAGTATTGTAAATTGCAAAGATTGATAACGTTTTTTTATAGCCTCTCCTTTTTTTTTAATCATTCCCAGAACCACCCCTGCTCTAGGAGTACAATTATTTTGTTCATACGGTATTTAATAATGATTATAATAATCACTGGTTGTATTGTGATCTTTTTTTAACTAGTCACCTCGTTAACTTTAAAATATAATTACAACGATAACTAGATTGTTGTTTTTTAATTTTTTTTTTTAGTTTAATTGTAATTGAAATTTAATTTGTTTTAGCTTTACCATTTTATCAACTTAAGTAGAACTGATGTGGACAAGAAACCTTCAATGCCTGTATCAGAAGATTTAGTCAGCTTGACTCACGATGTTTTAGATATTCTCACTACGTTACCTAATCATTCCAAATCTGCATACGATAGTGTTCAGCTTCGAGACATACTGACGAAACCGTTTATGAAGGTCAGTACAATTTATGTATACTCACTAATGGATTTCAGATGCCAAGAAAATGTTATCTTACAATTTTACACAATTTTTATCCAAAGAACACACTAGAGTACACTAAATTCAATTTTTGTTCTTAAGTTAATGCATGAAATCTTAAATTTTATTTCATTTTATGGCTTTTACAGTGGACATTTTCTGCAATCAAATAAAATTGTTAGGAATGATAGAGGGGGGGGGGGAATAGGTTAGACATGAGAAGACTCTTCACTTTCCATTAAACAAAAAAAGGCTTATTTCAGTATACTCAAGTATTGCTCAACATAATATAAGACTGCAGGGCATGTCCTCTTGGTGTTAAGAACAAAATATGGGCACGTCTCATTTCTAAACTAGGCGATTCAGTTATATTTAATTTTTCTAGTCATTAACATGAAAACAATGAGTGCAACAATGGGACATTAAATAACACTCTGTTGTAATTGTGCAAACGAGCTGTACTTTGGTTTACACAAACTAATTGCGCGTGTAAATAAAAATCGTATGATTGCGCAGTTAAAAAATTAGTACTGAACAAAAAAAAAATAATAATAATCCTTAAATAATTTACTCGGTTTGTTTAGGTGAACCGGTGTAGGTAAACCCACCAAAATGTTGTACAATACCGTTTGTTTGTCTTCTAGCTTACCGTATCACTATATTGACCTATGCATTGTAGATAATGCAAAAGAAGTTTCCTGGGTAGAGATACAAAAAGCACGCTGGGATAGACAGAAAAATAAATTGGCTACCAAAAAAAAAAAGTCTTTAATTACTGAACTAACAGTTAAACATCACAGTTTAACTTTTAAATTTTGCAAAAAATTACCTTTACCTAACTCTTTAATAAGGTACGACGACGTCATATCCCAAAAATAAAAAACCTAGTGCTTTGGTTGTTACTCGTTTCCCATTAAGTCAAAATTCGAAGTCGTTATCGTGGGACATAATTATTTTTAATTAACTTTGAACTAACCTAGGTGTATTGAATTTTACACAGTATAATATAAGGTACAATATAATATGACGGATATTCTTTAATCGTTACTGATGTGGTATACAGTGTAAATCCCTCACAGGATTCTTAACCTGTCGAAAAATATTATGCTACCAGGGCAAGCGCAAGACATATATTTCATTGGGCGCAAAATCGATATCCATTGCCTTAATCCATTTCCACCGGATAAAAAACATTTTATTTCCACAATAAAAAAATAATGAAATTGTTTCACTTAAGCCGAATTAGATTTATGTATACTTTGTTGTATTATGATGTGTACCTACCGTGTAAATCATATTAACAACAAATAATGGATAAATAATATTTTATTTGTTCTAAGTATACTCGTGTTGAAAAAAAGACGTGTTCAACAATAAAAATTATTTACTTAATAAATTAACAAAAACTTAAATCTCGAGATAAATCACAGTGGATGAATTATTTTTTTCACTCGCACGTTTCCCTCGTGTGCTCATTGGTTTTTATCGATGGTAAAATATGTATGACACTTATAATAACTATCTGCAATTCAGTGTATGATAATTCTATTAATTTTCGTCACCTAGTTTACAATAGCTGTTTCAGGCGACAATGGTTTTTTTATAAAATAATGACCGTAATTATAAAAATCTTAATAATGAGCTTGTCATTTTGCGACAGGTCGACAGCGGATAAAAATGTTGTTAATGGAAGAAACTTTTGAAATTCTCAAGGACTTAAAGAAAGAAGTAGACTTATAGACTACCTAAGTGTTTATCGACTGTTGAAAGGGGGCAAAAAAAATGTTTCCATCGCTAGGAACTAAAATGATAAATGTCGTCGAGTTTCAAACTCGGGTGTACCGCGTAACGACATAATTCCACATCCCGAACAGGATAAAGGGATTACAGGGAATGGTCGATGAGGAGGGGAATACATATAAAATATTTTTGTCATATCGTTCATAACACTGCCGTGTCTCCCTCGCCGCCCAAGTGTATATAGTAGTAATAGTTTAATAATACGTGGTTAGAACCATTGATGTCTATTTTCTGTCGACAGTCTGTCAGTCATGTTTGTTTCCCCCCAACGAATTATATACCGGCATATAATAATTATCCTGTCTCCGGCACGACTAAGACACAAGATGAGTTCAACGTGAAGTATCGCTAAATTTTAGAATTAAGAGCACCACAATCTGTTGTACAATATTATGTGTTATTAGCATTTGCGTTCTTGTGACTATAGTCATCACAGATATGTATTTATACATATAATAAACTAGATTGCTAAATAGTGATAAGAACTGATGTCGACGTCGGCCATCTTTGTGGGATTTATGTGCGTATAAAATAATATATATTATATACATGTTTGTGATTCTGTGCTATCAGCTTAACTTTTATTGATAACAGTTATAAACATGTGATAAGGTTCTAATTTCCGCAAAGATGGCGGAAATGGCAACTTCAGCTATCTCTAAATTACCAATGATGTATAATTATTATTATTGGAGTTTGGCCAAGGTAAAATAATATTTTTTATATTACTTTTGAGGGGGGTTTCCTCTTTTAAACGTCTCTACATAAACAGCTGATGTAAGTATCTCCAAAAATGTTTTCTTTTTGTACAATACATATTGCATCGGTGTTCAGTTTAAAATTTCTTTTTTAAAATAAAAATGCTTATGGTGTTAATAAAAAAAAAAAAAAGTGACAAACAAAATTTAGAGCCGTAGCCAGAGTGTACTATCAAGTAAAAACTGTTAAAGTATGTTGGATTGGGGAGGTCACAGGTTTTCAGGGAAGGGGTGAATTTTTTAAATTGTTGACCCAATTAAGTACCCTATTAGGTACGATTATTGATCTATAATCTTTTGACTACATAGACTACTTGAGACCTATATTTTAATTTCTTTTGGTTTATACTTTTAGCAGTATAAGTACGCCGTCGCTGGGATTCGGGGAAATAATGATTATTAATAATAATAATATTTGGATACAATTGAAAAGCAAATAATTTATTTCGAAATGTATTTTCCATGGCATGCCGGGCCAAAATAAACTTGTCGGTTTGGAAATTCGGGGATTATTAAGGGAGAGAAACTTACAAAAGCCATTATTCATTTTTATCAATAATGGGATTATTAAAATTATGTGATGTGCGTTGACAGCAATATTATAATGGATGTTGTCTGGTGTCTAAAAGGTAGGTTATTTTGAAATTGATTTTATTACCACCACGGAAGAATAAGCCACCTTAGTTCTGACGATATTCCGTATTCTAATATATGATATGCATGTAAATTTGATATATTATAAAAACAAAATAAATAGGTCATAGGTATCAAAACTGTGGTTGCCCCTAGTAAAAACTAAAATGTATAGGATAACTCTGTAGCAGGAATCAACTATTCCACTTACTGTTAACACATGACTGACATTGGATAATAACAATACATAACTGATAAAAATGACACAACATGAAACTGGTAAGTATAATAAGTATGCCCCAGAAATAATGCTGGCATGTAGTAATTTTTTTTAAAACACTTATTCTTCTCCTTAATTGTGGGGATAATCAGAGAGAATAGATTGAATGTCTTCTCGCACCCAGTCCAACCATTTCTTCTTCGACATTTATTTTTTTAAATGTCTATTATAATATTATTAGTAAATTGTACAAGCATTATACATCTTGCCATCGACCTAAATAAGTTAATAATTGCATATCGCGTTCATATAATACATTTGCAACAAGATACGTTTGCATCTATAGGGTTTTTGCGATGCGTGTTATTGACCATTGTTATTGAAGTCCGTCATTAAGTCGCCCATTAGCTTTAAAAGCAATAAAAAAATGTAGACCACATTAAGGGGTTTTTTTTTTTTTTTTTGGTGGCACTTCTATTGTACTCTTGCGCTTATTTTTGTAAGTGTACAGTTATTTCTTTTATTAGTTTAAGTTAGAATTACACGGTCGGCTGTGTGTCAGCTCTGAACCGGCCACCCTCGGTAAAACGTTCACAATGGTCCGGTCTAATAATTAACACACCTTCTAGAGTTAACCTGCTTTGTGCATTCGCGTGCCAAGTACACCATCATTACCCGAGGCGACCACCGACCCTTGGAATTCCTTTCTGGGTCATCGTATAGGCGCGTCTGGACCTTTCCGTCAACTAATTAATAAAGCAAACATGTGTAGCATACGACGGACCTGATCAAGCATTCATGAGGTTGTCGGTATCATATCTGCACTCTTGTAGCGCTTAATGAAAACCGCCATTACGCGTGCGCCTGCTGCCCCTATATTATACAGACAAGAACGGGAGGTAAAATAGAAGGAAACGAGGGAATGTGATCCATATAGTAGTATCCTAGCACATAGTCTCCGCCCTCAACAATAACCGTTGGTGACACATAACAAGCCATATCTCCGGGGACCTACGACATAGGTTATCATGGGAAATCTACCAGGGGTTGTAATTTTTACATATAAAACACACAAATCATTTTTTAACGGTTTTTTTTTCAACGCGTTACACGTCACTAGAAAAAAAAAATCATCGCAAGTTTTAGAAAATAATAATATAAAAAAACCTATAAAGATTCACTGGAATATTTTTCCGGTCGTATATCTTGAATTTTATAATATGATTTAATAATATAATTATATATATGTATGTATGTATTCAAGACAACCCGCTTTTCTTGATCTGTAATTGAATACAATAAGGCTTACAATGTATACTCTATATATATAGCCATCGGAATGCTATTTTTTTTAAGCCAATCCGATATATAGGTAGCAACCAGGAGGTATATACCGATTCGTACAACTTTAATTTTTAAGTAAGATCTGATATATGTATGTTATTATAAAACCGTTATTTTGCTTTGGCTTGTTTTCTCGATAGAACGGAAATAGTTCGTAGTTATTTATACTTGTGTGTGTGGCGTTACTTAACAAATACAATATTAGCCAACACAAACGACCT